CAAGACTAGTGGAACTATTAATAGATCAGAGATCAAGGGACTAGGATCTATATGCAAGACTAGTGGAACTATTAATAGATCGGAGATCAAGGGACTAGGATCTATATTCAAGACTAGTGGAACTATTAATAGATCGGAGATCAAGGGACTGGGATCTAAATTCAACTTGAAATAAAATCTTCTTTGTTCCCTCTGCTTGATTAATTAGTGTTGCATGGAAACTGTGTGGCTCGGTTTAGGTTTCACGATGCATTAATTTAATAAAAAAGTTGGGGCGTGAGAATTTTAAATACTTTTTACGAGTCTTAGGTCATCAGAGAATATTTAAACCCTCCTCCAACGTTAAAAAATATGCACCAATAACTTCTTAGATTAGGTTAGATTACAACCATGGCACGTTAAGAACAGAATCTGGGGCTATTTTACATTTCTAATGTTGTAGTGTGTCCTTGCGAACGTATCGTCTAATGCTGCAATGCACTGTGGTTGTGAGAAGGCGTGAAGAAGAGTAAATGACGTTTTTACGTGTGAGTTGATTGATTTGAAAAGGTTTCGTAGAATCATGTTGTTTCAGCCTCATTGTTAGATCTAGCTGTCTAACACAGGGTTGAATGTAACTAGTGTTTTTGTGCCCGGAGTACGGATCTATGACTGGGTGGTCCGAACCTTCACACCCTAGCTCCTATTCAGTATATTTAGCTCACCAGCTTACTCATCATACACCCTGAGAAAGAAGCTGAATGAGAGTAAACCAAGACTAAATCCAACCTTGTCTGATCCTAAGCCCGGATAATTGGAAACCTTAGCTCTCGACAAGATTTAAATAAACCTAGATTGCTCCGATATCAATTTTATCTGAATCTTTATGAATTTTGGTCGAGACGTGCACCTGAGTATTTGTGGATAGGTTTGGACTGGATAGGGTTGGGTCTCCCTACTTCTGTCATCTGTGACTTAGACGTGAATCTCAGGATATTCCAAGATTCTTAGATTTGAGCAAATTTAGAAGAGAGGAGGAGAGTAATCCAACCCAACCCTTATATCTCTCAACCTCATGAACTCATTAGTACATGATACAGATCTTAATTAGTTGGATTTTATAGATTTCAGTTCGGAGAAGGACTCGGAGACGCTTGCTCCGGATAGGATCTCAGATAGCTGTTAACTGTTCCAGACAAGAATAACACATGGTTCAGAACAAACAAGTTTATAATTTTTGAAACAAATACGGCGCCTACATTTATTTAATAGAGAATTAAGAAATTATTGGCGTTAATCCTTTTTGTTTAAAATATACTAATTTTAAAACATTTAATTTAATATTAAAACAACAAAAAAACAAACATTTTTATTTAACTAAGCCAACACAAATTCTGCTGGTCTTTTGTTGAATTCCGATATATTTAACTTTTTAAAAGATATTTTTAAGAATTTTAACACTTACCTGAAAGTCAAAGTTTGAAATATTAAAGATTGCAAAGATAAGAAAATTAGAGTTTGAGGCAAGAGTTCAATTCTGTAAAGATATTTAACTGTGTTAGGGGACTGTCCTTGTAATTTAAAGTTACCTTTCAATTAAAGAGGGCTATGTCCGTCCGCTAAACCTTTATCTGATCAATAATGTGGCAGTGGAAGATATCGTCGTTTTTCCAACTGGAAAAGTGTTTATTTCTAATAATTTCCCCAATCGTATCTGCAGTAAATATATGCAAATTACTTTTCTAGAGAAACCACAATTGAAAATAATGATTTGTTAAAGAGTTAAATATAGATATCTTCTTCATTCCTGATCAGATAAACCCTAAAGGGTGATGTTAGTCACGTTCCCAAAGGATTTTTTTCCAAGTGGCAACTTCCCAATGGTATTTTCCATAGTGGCAACTTCCCAAATGTGAAATTTCCCAAACGGCAACTTCCCAAATCTGACCTAGCCGCAGCACTCAGCCCCCCGCCTGTTCTAGCCGCGGCGCCCTAGCCCATCCTAGCCACAGCGCTCGGCCCTAACTTAACCTTTGGGAAGTTGCCGCAATTGTGACTCGGGAAGACGCCCTTGGGAAAATGCCTTTGGAAAGTGCCTAACGTCTAAAGTGTACTGTTTTTTTTAACGGAGAGTCACTTGCAATTCCGACTACAGTCCCTTTAACTAATTTAAAAAGTTATATAAAAGTATTTGCAGATGCAAGAACAAAACCAAATCCTTGACAAAAGAATTTCCAAATATTTTCTTAATGAATAATTGTTGTCTCCAATCCAAATTGAGATCATATCCGAGGAGATTAAGAAATTCCTCTGAAATATCTTGGATCCGTTGATGTAAAGAATGATCTAATATTGTCTAATCCTAGTCTAGTATTGAGTAGAGTGGGAGAGAGGAGCAGGTGTGGGTTGGAGAGGGTTTGACCGCAAGGGGGTTGGATGGAACCCATCCAGCTGCTCCAGGTCCCCAGTGCTCTGTATTCTCACGTTAATCTCTCCCACGCTCCATCTCTATATATACGGATATATTTCCCTGGGTTCAACATGTGGATATTTTAACTCACCAAATATTTTAATGCATAAAAGCGCTGGGAATTCCACACGTGCTTGGGTTAATGTATGTACGTAATTCTAGGCTATAGCTCTGGGTTGAAGGGCTTGATGGAAATTTAAATAAGGGGAAGGGTTGGAGATTTTAGGAACAGGATTAAATATTTTACATGCGGTGAAATATGTAAATAATCAAACTTTTCAAGGGTATCTGTAGTTTCCAAATGAAATCATAGTAAAAAATCTGATTTAAAAAATGTCTAGTTTTAAGCGGAACCAGTCTGCTGAAGTTAAAACAAGGGTTAACGCGTTTCTATCAACCTTAAAATTAACAAAATAGTTTTTATTTGGTTTTTTTTTGTGTAATACTATAGAGATTATTTTGCTTATGGAAGATACACCAGACACCCCAATATCTTTGTTTATACATTTGTGTACAGCCATTTCTAGGCAATCCAGAGCATTGAGTTTGTTTACCATGCTCCCAGAAACTGCAGTACACTCACTATGTAAACATAAATATATGAAAGGTTCCATTGTATCTTCATGACTTCATGTATCAAGTTTTTTATTCGGAGATTATTTCCTTGAACTATTATTACTTTGTTTTGTAATTTTAAACGTTCATTGTAAATCCCAACTCTTCAAAGAGTTACCGAGATATGGCCTGGATCAAAGTTTCGAGGACCAGCGAAACTGAGGTTTTAACAGAATCACTTTATCTTTGCAACCCAATGTCGTAGACCGTTTATATTTCAAACTATGAATCCAGTTTGATCAAATAATCTAAGTTAGGAATATCAAAGGTTTATAACATTAGGTTTCAAAGATATAAAGATCAGAAAATAAACTTAGTTACATTGAGAGTTTGAAAAAAATGTATAAATAAAGACGCCGAAAAACGTGATTTTCTTTTTGATCTGATGAAAAAGGGTGAAAAATAGAAAACAGAAAAATGTAATTTTATTTTGAAATCAGAAATAGATCCATCCGTGAAGAATTCAAAACTTAACCGTTTACAGGTAATCTACCGGCCCTCCCCCCCTCTCTCAACCACCCAACCAATCCCCGCCCCCAGCTCCCAACCACTGACCACCCCCGCAACCACTGGTATAAAAGCCAGGTGGAGGTGGAACCCATTTCAGTCATAATCCGATATTCAACCCCAAACCATCCTCATCATGAATACTAAACCCACCACCAGGAGAATCAAATCCATCCTCAAGAAACTCATTTCCGTCTACAGGAAGCAGGAGGACAACAAGGAGACCTTCAACACAGAAATGGAGGACAACGCCATCAACGAGGCTCTCGAGGCCAAACTTGCTCTGATGATTGCTCAGTCTCCGTCCTCCCAACAGATGAATCTGAGATTAGAATTGCCAGAGTTCGGACCAGTTTCAGTTTACTCCGGGTGCCAGGTTGCTGGACCTCAAGTAGCTTAAACAATACCGGAGAAGATGATTAAGAAACCTAGAAGAAACTGATATTAAAAAGGCCTGCAGTCCCGCTACAACCTGGAGAAATGAAACCAGAACAGCAGAAGCAATGCAGCAATAAGAAGAATTAAACTGAGAACGGATGGAAATATATAAATTTATGTACGCTATATAAAAAAATATAATCTAATAACTAAATCTAAAAATCTTATCATTAAAATTTGAGAAAAAGAGAGAGAAAACGTTAGATATTTTAGGGTTAAAACATATTGATGAAATCATTGTTTTAATTATTGTTTTGAACAACATATAAATTGATTTACACAATTTTATGAGTAACAAAAATCAACCAAAGCAAATTAACGATATGGGAGAGTTAGTTTATTGCTGGAGAAGAAATTTAAAACCGTTCTTAGAGTTGAACATTCGAGGTTGCGAGATTATTTTCCTAAAGTTTATTGCTAGAATTCAACATCTTTGTTTATTCAGTCGTCCACATCCATATTCTTTTTTAAGGTACTGTAAACGTAATTAGAACCGACCCTCCATGCAAAATGGGAATTCCCGATTCACAACGGTACCCTGATAAGTTTTGTCTGTTCAAGTATCGATGTTTATATTGTTGAAAACTAATCATTTTTAATTTTGGTTTCTCTACAAGTAAATTGCGCATTTCTGCTGCAGGAAAACATATTGGAATACAATATCTTTTACATTATTGATCAGATAAAGGTTTAAATGTAGGTTCGTTTAAGATTATACTTCTTGTCCCTTTCAGTGCTTTTAACAATTATTCTCACCAACCTGCGTTTCATACGCATTTATTCTTTATCTTTTACAATAATATAATAATGATATGATCTGGACCAAAGCTCGGTTTTTTCATTAGTTCTATTTTCTGTTCTTCCGTAAATATGGATTCTACGCTAGGCACTTTTATTAATCTAAATTTTGTCTCTTGTTTCTCAACTTAATTATTTTTATTCTTCTTATTCTCATCTTTAATTCTTTGCCTTTATTTATATATATCTCCTACATTGTTGAGTGTTTGCCACAAACTCTAATTTCTGATCCCTATATCTTTGCAACCCAATATTGCAGACACTAGATATTTCAAGCAATGAAACCTGTTAGATCAAATAATCAAAGTTTGCAAAGATAAAGGGATTGAAAAATTTAAGTTTGTGGCAAAGACTCAATCCCTTTTATAAATGATTTGATATTTAGTTCAAAACTTGTTTTTTTACCAAGGTAGTCTATAATGTGTAAATCTAACCTTTTAACCTTTCATATTTTCTCTATTATTCTTATTCCTACGATTTAAACTATCAATAAATAATGAACAAAGTTGTTTGAGATCAATATAGTTATATTTATTATTATATATTCTTGTACTTTATGTTGATAAACTATCACAGATGGGGAAGGTTGGAAAAATGAAGCTTCTAATTAAGGTTTAGAATGGTCTCCAGACAGGGCTGAGCTGAGGTTCAGGTTTGATGGAAGGACTGATCTGTAAAAGTCCGGAAACAGGAGAAATAATACTGCTCGGAGAAGGAGATGAATCTCTTCCTGAAGAGTATCCACAGTCTGATGAGGGAGAGGATGGAACTCTTACTCTCAAAGGAGAAACTCTTGAGGTTTCTATTGTGTTTAGTTTATGACCAAGATGAGACATAAGACGAGATCCAACTGTAATATCTACTCCGGTAGAAGCAAGACATTTGCTTACTTCAGTAGCACAGGCAGTATATCCTGCATGGAATCTATCCAGATCAAGTCCAGGGTTCAAGGCCAACATCTGCTGTCTCTTCAGCTTCCTCAAGTGTCTCACAGTCAACTCCAACACGTCAGCTTTCTCCAGCTTGGAGATGCTTTCTCCCTCTGTCTGCAGAGCGAACACCATGAGATCCTTGAGTTCATCAAGACAGGCATTAATCCGTGCTCTTCTCTTTCTCTCTAGGAGAGGTTTCATCACCTTCCTGTACTGATCCGTCCTGGACATTGGTTCTTCTTCAAAGTTATGTTCGGTTTTAATGACGGGTGCCATGTTGTTTTCTATGTGGTAGCTCTTTACTATGTGAAAGCCAGAAAGCGACTGCCCGTGCGCAGTACGTGCCTGGTTTATATAGGCTAGACGGGACGGGTCGGGACGCGTGGCGGCAGGTGAGCTGTAGCGTGGGAATGGATAATTGTGACTATATCTGCCAGATGCAAATTTTTAAATTGTGACATTAGAATTAAACATGGAAAAACTGAAATCATTAGCCATGTTTATCAAATATAGGAGAGTCGCTGCAATATAAGTTTCCATATCCGTCCTTATAGTAAAGAACATAGACCAAGTAAAATAATAATGGAAGAATAGATAATATGGAAACCAATGGAAGAATAGAGAATATGGAAACCAATGGAAGAATAGAGAATATGGAAACCAATGGAAGAATAGAGAATAGGGAAACCAATGGGAGAATAGAGAATATGGAAACCAATGGAAGAATATAGAATATGGAAACCAATGGAAGAATAGAGAATATGGAAACTAATGGGAGAATAGATAATATGGAAACTAATGGGAGAATAAATAATATGGAAACCAATGGAAGAATAGATAATATGGAAACCAATGGAATAATAGATAATATGGAAACCAGTGGAAGAATAGAGAATATGAAAACTAATGTAAGAATAGAGAATATGGAAACCAATGGAAGAATAGACAAGATGGAACCAAATGAAGAATAGAGAATAATAGAAAATATTAAACCCAATGGAAGAATAGTAAAGATGAAACCAATGAAAGAACAAAAAATATGGAATCAATGGAAGCAGAGAAAAATTAATCAACCAATGAAACTGAAGGAAGGAACCCAATAGAAGAAAAATCAATTTATCCTAATCCATCCTACCGTATCGCATCTAAGTGTGGATTGATTTAACACACCTTTTTAACCTTTTTATCTATCTATCAATCAATTGTTGTTTGATACACAACCCCAGGACTCAATATACTCCAGATATACTGTTGCTATTTTCGTAACAACTAGCTGGCTTTGTGTGGTGCTACCGTATAGGAAAGAAGGGGTGGGGGAGGTGTAAACATATATTGAACAGAAAAGTAAAATGAAGAGAAGGAAAAAAATTAGTAAAAAGAAATAAATGAGAAACATTGTTTCATTTTGATCTGGTCGCGATACGGAACTTGAATTAATACAATACTCTAAAATTAAATTGTTCACCTCAGACGTTCGATACACCTCCCCCCCATCTCCACCCCCCTCCTCCTCCTGCAATCTGCAAACTCTACGATTTAAAAGACATGCAGCTTTATGAGATCTTGCTGTGTTTATGGTTTAGAAGATGAAGCAGTATAAAAGAGAGTAGTAAACCCTGCCACCCACACTGATTTGAACCACCTGGAGCAGGACGGAGAAGAACTCAATCTCATCCTAGCTCTGATGAATGAATCCTAATTAAGTGATGTAATGACGGTCAGACTCAAATAGAATTATCATTAACACTTCTCCAGATGTTTCCAGCTTTCACGGGATTCCTTTAAATTAGATTCGCTCTAGGTAGGTGGTTAGGTAGGTAGGTACGTAAGTAGGAAGGTATGGAAGTGGCGGGAGATCGAGTTCAAGAGTTGGAGGGGAACGGAGAAATGAAATAAGAGGTGGGATTAAAAAAGGTTAAGAAGTGAAATAAAATAATGATAAGGAACACTTTCAGAATGATGATTGTGATCATATAAGGGGTAGAGAACAAGACTGGAGAAGATCATACAAGGGGTAGAGAACAAGACTGGAGAAGATCAAAAGAACCAGAACGAAAAATTAGAAATTAGAAGGATGGGAAAATGAAGAAGAAAGAGAAATAAACGAAGAAGAAGAAGGAGACAAAGGAGAAGAAGGGGGAGACAGAGGAGAAGGAGGAGTACGAGGAGAAAGAGGAAAAGAAGGTGATGGAGGAGACGGAGGAGCAGGAGAAGAAGGAGAAGAAGAAGGAGATGGAGGAGAAGAAGCAGATAGAAGAGAAAGAGGACAAGGATGAAACGGAGGAAAATGAATAAAAGGAGAAAAAGTAGGAAAAGGAAGAAAGGAAGAAAAAGAAGGAGAAGAAGGGGAAAGAGGATAAGGCAAAGGAGTCGGTGTAGATTGAGGAGGAGTAGGAGAACGAGAGGGGGGAAAAGTAGGAAGAAGTGAGAAGGTTAAGAAGGACTCAGTTCAGGATATAGACCGGAGTAAATGTATTTAAGATAGGATCATCTTTGAACCCTAGGACCCCCAAGAAGGGTGAAAATTGAGCCAAAAAAGATCAGATTTCCAGATTCAGTCAGATTTATTGTAGATTCAGTATTTGATGCACAGGAGAGATTTCAATTTTGGAAATTCAAGATTTCAAATAAAAAGTCAGGTTTTTGTCTCCTAAAAATATCCAGGGTTTTCAGTCCTGGTTTCTTATCAACATGTCGACTGTGAGAAGTTTATCAAGCTTAGTATCATTCACACAAGTTTAAGTTAACCATTTTAAATTAAGTAAATAAATTGTTTGTTTTTTCAAACACTAGATTGTTATTTGAATCGTTAATTATGTTCGCAGATCATTAAAAATTTGAAATGATACTATTTTTCAAAACACAATTTTATTTTTCTTAAAATCCAGAATTTAAAATTATCTTTCTTGGTTAGTGTTAAAAAGAGGTCGATTTGTGGTATATTTTCTGTCTTTCAATAACATAGAATTAGGAGCAGCGAGACACACTAGAAAAAGCTGTCTATGGTTTAAGATGAGAAAAAAGCGATGGCACAGAATTCGGAAACTCAGCTGGGTTAGTCCAACGTCTAACTCCAGGGTCAGTCAAATTTAATTTTAAAATGATAAAAAAAATTTCTTACATTTTCAAATTTTAGGGAGAAGATATTACAGGAGAAAGAAGGTGAACTAATTTTTAAAGAGATTATAAACGAAATTCTAATTGATACTAAAATAAATAACATAATTATGCTGGTGGAGAATTCGTCTTTTCCGTATTTTGATCAGGAACTTCAGCTCGGCCATTTGCCTGCTCGTCATTGTTACAAAAATCCACAAGACAATCTCTAGAAAATAATCGATAAAAAGTGGCTTTCAGAATTCCGTTCACAGTCCCTTTAATTTCTTTTATAACCAAGATAAATATCTATCTTGATCCTGTGCAGGTTGTCTAAGACTGATTTATCAATGGCTCGGGTTGAGACTGAATCCATATCTCAAGAAAAACCTTCTCCATGCAAATCTTACCACACCAGGATCAGACGAAGTATAAGATTCATAGTTTAAATCCTTCTTCACACCCATCTTACCACACCAAGATCAGAGGAAGTTTAAAATTCATAAGTTAAATCCTTCTCCATACCCATCTTACCACACCAAGATCAGAAGAAGTATAAGATTCATAATTTAAATCCTTCTCCATACCCATCTTACCACACCAAGATCAGAGGAAGTATAAAATTCATAATTTAAATCCTTCTCCATACCCATCTTACCACACCAGGATCAGACGAAATATATAATTCATAGTTTTAAACCTTCTCCATACACATCTTACCACTCCAGGGTCAGACGGAGCATGAAATTCATAGTTTTAATAAACAAAGGTTTTAAATATAGAAAATAACAAAAAAAATACAAAAAATCTTGATTCTATTTGATGAACTAAATGTGTTTTATAGTTTTTTTTTCTAAAGATGTCGATTGTTTACCCAAATATTTACATAGCTCGAGACTGTTGTTGTAATTTCAGGTGACCCTTTATTAAAAAAATGGCCTGCCCGATTTACAATGGTAGCCTCTCAACAATTATCTGATCAATAATGTGAAAGATATCTTCGTTATTCTAGCGCAAAATGTGTTTAATGATGCTAGTACGTGATCAGACTTAGCTTCTTAGGGTAAAGTTGTGAATAGGAGATTCATTAACTGATAAAAGAGGGTTTGAACGTCTTCTAAATTCCTAAGTATGTATGTTGAGACTCTTTGCACTTTATAGTTGATCCCCTGCTTGAGAAGCTACCGGAGAAGTTTATAAACCCGGAAACAGGAGAGCTAACCCTGGAGATTCTGCTCCCAACCGGTATGCTCATGAACCTGGTGGCTGAACCACAGATCCTTGTTGAAACTTTGAAGGGATTTATCATCGATCAGGTTAGATCAGGCAGGTTGGAAATATGATGTACAAAATATAAAACATGGACGTTTTAGATTCTCAACAGCTCCGAGGGGTTTCCCCTCTCTGGTTTGATGGTTGGGGACCCTGATCTATATACTCTATCCGCTATATCCAGGAACAGTTTCAGTTTCCAACATTTCTAAAAGTCTTGAGGAAATGTTCCAAATAAACTTTTTTCTAAGTTAACCTTTTCTTCAATGACTATTTAAATCAGTTAGCTTAGGCAAAGCAGTGTCGGTAACGCTAAGGGACCCAGCCCTAAGGGACCCAGCCCTACGGTAACGCTAAGGGACCCAGCCCTAATGCTAGGAATCTCGATCAATAGACAATTGGATAAATAAAGAAATTGAGTCTTTGCCACAAATTCTTAATCCTAATATCTTTGCAACCTAATGATTTAAACCTGTGATATGTTAAACTTAGATAATTTAATCTAACTGTGTAGTCATGGTTTGAAATATGTAAGGTATACGACATTAGGTTGCAAAGAAAGATATAGGGATTAGTTTATGGCAAAGACTCAATTCCTTTGAGAAATTATTATGTGTTATGGCTTAAATTTCGAATTTAATTAAGAGTTTGGATAAGAAATAAATGAACTATTTGATGATGAAACGATCTACAGGGAAGGGCTGCTAGAGGAGCTGGACGATGATATAAGTTTAGAAGATGTCAACCTAACCCAACCTATTATTAAGATGTCGAAACTACAACAACACCAACTCGGAGAAATCAGAGTCAAGAAAATAGGAAATAAATCATATATTTATTTTTGCAAAAATAGCTAGTTTGTTTAAGACAAATCTTTCCTTTGGGATAAAATACGATGTTTCAGAGACCTAGTTTTTTTGTTTTAATTTTAGATAAAATTTTTTATTTATATTTGAAATAATGGTTGGTTAGGAATTTTGGTTGGAAAGAACTTGAGTCAGCTTGAGAACTTGCAAAATACAGAAATAAAAGATTTTCGATGGAGATTACAGATTTTTGTTCTTAGGTAAGTTAACGTTCGAGAACCCTCCGAAAAACCCGGGGGCGGTAAACGACCCCCCCCCCCCCCCCTCCGTACCAAAATATTTGCCGATAAGATTGTCTAAAAACATTTTAGAATTGCCCAGGAGAGGAAACAGCTGTTGGAGCAGGATTGGAAGAATATACTCCGGTATTATTTCCCGCCCCGGTAGGTCAAAAGAAGACGACATTCAACAAATCCGTTAATAAAATTTTTTTCGTACACTTCATTGCAGAATCCGCGAAAATGAGGTTGGAACTTTCTCCTCCCAGTTCTCTCCTCAGATTGAGAGTAAACTTTATCGGACTGGAAATCATCTTTGGTAAACAAATTTTGTGAAAATGAAGAAAAAAATCAATCAATAAACGATTCAATATTTTGCGTCGAAAGCGGTTAATTTAGATGACTCAATTTGAATTTCATCTTTTTCTTAGGATTTCAGTTATTAAAGAGAACGGAGCCCAAATAAAGCTTAAAGTTTCATCAGACATTCTTCCTTCTCAGATACTAGAGTTGTGTAAGGTAAAAATATTAATATTCACATATATATAACAAGGCTTTTTAAAAATAATAAATTTCGACATTTTTTACAAGCAATATTTGTCAACATCGAACAGTCATAAACCTACCTTGGGGTAATGTGAGTTGCCTCAAAAATTTTGGACTCGATCGATTGAAGTATTAAAAAAAATTATGAAAATAAAAAGATGGAAACCGCTGTATATCTCAAGCATATACTGCTTGGAAGATATCTCTACCTATCTAAAGATCAACTGTTTAGGAAGATATCTCTACCTGTCCAAAGATCAACTGTTTAGGAAGATATCTCTACCTATCTAAAGATCAACTTTTTAGGAAGATATCTCTACCTATCTAAAGATCAACTGTTTAGGAAGATACTCTAGCTGTCTAAAGATCAACTGTTTAGGAAGATATCTCTACCTATCTAAAGATCAACTGTTTATGAAGATACTCTAGCTGTCTAAAGATCAACTGTTTAGGAAGATATCTCTACCTATCTAAAGATCAACTGTTTAGGAAGATATCTCTACCTATCTAAAGATCAACTGTTTAGGAAGATATCTCTACCTATCTAAAGATCAACTGTTTAGGAAGATATCTCTACCTATCTAAAGATCAACTGTTTAAGAAGATATCTCTACCTATCTAAAGATCAACTGTTTAGGAAGATATCTCTACCTATCTAAAGATCAACTGTTTAGGAAGATATCTCCAGCTGTCTAAAAATCAACTGTAGAGAGGAGTTCTTAGTGAGAGAATGTTCTCTTATCAACTATGATACTTTAAGGTCCAAATTATCATATTTAAAAATCATTTAATTTCTATAAATAATATAAAAATTTAGCCAAACCCAACCGTCTTTGTAAAGGAATAAATTTGGGAATAAATAAATAACAACAATTTTAATGTCTGTCTTTGTTCAGGGATCTATTCCTGCAGGGTTCGGAGATAATTCTCCTGGTGCGGACCCGGAGCAGTCTCTGTTTAGATATGGAACCGGAGATTGTAGATGAAGATATCTATTCCGACTACCAACTCCGCTCTAAAGTACGTTAAAAGAGATCTTCCCTCCTTTAGGACTGTTGCTTAAAGTGTCTGTTAATGTAATTTCGAATAACGGACTCTCCATGCAAAAAATGGCAGTGCCCGATTCACAACAGAACTCTTAAAAACTTTGTCTGATCAGGTATGAATTAGATCAATGTTTATAATTTTAAACACTAATCCTTTTCAATTGTGATTTCTGTACAAAAGTGAGTTAGGTGCATTTCTACTACAGAAAACGTAAAAGAAGTATCAGATTAAACCTAGAAATTGATTACATGAAGGTTTCAAGGGTACCGTTGTAAATCAGGCATTGCTATCTTCGAATAAAATGCCACTTGAAATTATTCTTGGATAAACCTGTCGTTCCCAGAACTTTATTTATTACAGAACAAGCTGGTGGAGGAAGTTCCCCGCAGTTTTAACTCTGTTTCCTCACTCCGGTTGCAGACAAGGTTTCTCCTACTCCTGGATTGTCTCATCCTTAAACCTGAACTCCATATGCTCAAACCTGAAGTTTACTCTGACCTTAAGCTAAGGATCGGAGTTTATCATGGCAGGAAATCCTTGTGCTCTGAAGTTAGGTGATTCAATGCCTAAAAACATTAAAGGAAATGAGTCATTGCCACAAATTCTGATTTCCTAATCCCTTTATCTCTACAACCCAATGTTGTAGACCTTAGATATTTCAAACTGTGAATTCTGATGGATCAAATAATCAAAGTTTGAAATATCAAAGGTTTACTATATCTTGTTTTAGAGATATAGGTATTAGAAAATTGGGATTTGTTGCAAAGACTCAACTCCTTTATGCTAAAAGCTTTAATCCAAACCCCTAGGAGAATTAATGTTCATTATAGTCTTTTTTTGAAAAGAGAAATTCTAATGATGAGGAGATAGACATTTAGGAGTTTTGCTAAGCAAAAACAGTAATAATAATGAATATAATCAAAATAGTCAAAATATTAATGTTAAAAATGATAAAACGTTAATGCTAATTGCTACGCTAGCCATAAAGTGAAATCCCAAACGATTAAATAAAAGATCTAAGCTCGTTATAAGAATGTTCATTCAAAATCCAGACTTGGTGGACTTGTACGTAAACTAATGAGAGGTAGGGTTAAAAATATTAACTAAATGGTTGAGATGCTTCTTAAGGTTGCCTGTTCAGTCGAGTTCTTTGCTATAAACATATATTTTTATAGTTTGAGTTTTGGAGAACGGGTAAAAACAATGGTGGATAAACATGGAACTTTCTTCAAATACGTTCTGGACCAGTGTGTTGAATTAGGAATTAATCCTTATCTTTAAAATGCATTTATTGTAGCGTGAGTCAATATCAAGCTTTCAATAAGAATTATTTACTCAGCGTTAAAGGATTAAAATCCTAGATATCCTGGTGTCTAATCTACCAAGAATGGCACGGTTAGTTCTCCAGGTATAAACTATAATACAGGAAAAATGTTTGATTCTACTCTAGGTTATGTTTTGGACTTTACAGGGAGAGGAAAAGAAGAATTTTACCGCTGGCCTGGGTTAACACGAATATCTTTGATTATAAAAGGTTGTATCTAGTCAACCAAAGGATCTAACAATGTTAATCTAATTATTTTTTAGAGTTTTAAAAAAGTGTCTTACTCTCCACTTCTGGTCCTACTCAGACACCGAGTCAATCCATCCTTGTCAATCATCCGTCCTGCAACCAACCCTTTTATCGGAGCAAAACAAGGTTAAAACTAAATTATATTTAAAAAAAGATGTTTTGATAATATCTTTTGAAATTCTGAATATACTTGATTTTTTGTGTGTTTGCCTTAGTTCTTTAAATCTTGATTTTTAAATGATGAGATTAAAAATTTTAGAACTTTAAGCTGGCGTCCTCTCTTGTCTTCAAGTTTGGAAACCAGAAGAAAGGAAACCTTGTCGAGTTTCCAAATAATATTTCACAAGAAGGTATTTTTAGAAGGAAAGGATCAGATTACTCTTCTCAATACTCTCTAATCTTCTAATAATTTGCAAACATGAACTCTGCAAAGTCAAATAATTAAAGTAAAAATATTGGGATTAGAAAATTGGGGTTTGAGTTCCTTTGGAAAGTAACCAGAAAGTAACTTAGTTGCATCAAGTATTGGGTTGTGATTAAAGGGACTGGGTTGTGATTAAAGGGATCGGGTTGTGATTAAAGGGATTTGGTTGTAAATAAAGGGATTGGGTTGTGATTGAAGGGACTGGGTTGTGATTAAAGGGACTGGGTTGTGATTAAAGGGACTGGGTTGTGATTGAAGGGACTGGGTTGTGATTAAAGGGACTGGTGACGTAAGTATAAGTGAACCTCTATTTATAGAGTGGCATTTACAACGGTTCCCTTTCATTCTTTGTCTGAATAATAATGCATAAGATATCCTTCTTTTTCTTTCGGAAATTTGGTTATTTTAAACTGTGGTTTCTCTATGAAAGTGACTTCCAGATTCATGCTACGGAGACAGTGAAGGAAATTTTCAAAATAGACAAGATAGAAAATGACGATATCTGTCTGCTTGTTACTCAGATAGAATCGGATAAACCACTTTTTTAATGGAGAGCAACTTGAAATTACTTCTACACTCTACAGTTCTTCTTTATCACAATTTTTTTTTAATGTAGAGGAAATAATCCGAAGCTAGATGAACGGGCTTTAAATATGTGGAACGATGCTTTGAAAGATTCATTTCCGTAGTTGAAGAAACGAAAAGATGACTTTAGCTGGCTCCCTAATCGTCTTAATTGGATAAAAAATTATAATATTTTCATAATCATCAGCCGGTGATCCTTTGCTTAGAAAGGAGCCAAAATTTTACCCAACGACCATCTAGATCCAACATAAATTTCGATTGCACATTTAGCGTTTTGAAAACAACCTTCAGCATTTATTCATGGCAGTTGGTTTTGACTAGTTTTCATAAATAAATCTTAATGTTTTTAAGAAATACCGAGCAGTGATGAACTCAAAAAACAAAAACTTCGGTCAGAAAATCCGACTCAATCTTCCCAAAAAGAAACATTAAGAACAAAAGAACCCCGAATAAGTTATACGTCAAAGTATCAGAATGAACCTGGAGATTCAGTTCCGAGATCAGAGAACCCCAGAGAACCAATCCTTCTCTGTAGATCCGGAGAACCCAACCTTCTCTGTAAACCCGGAGAATCCAACCTTCTCTGTAAACCCGGAGAATACAACCTTCTCTGTAATCCCGAAGAACCCAACCTCCCCTGTAGACCCGGAGAACCCAACCTTCTCTGGAAACCTCAAAGAAGATCATTGCTCCGGGAGGGTTCCGTTCTTGTTCCTCGTCTAAAAATGAGTAAAACTTTTAACGAGGAGTTACAGAGGATTGCAAGACGTGATCAACATCATCAGATGACGGAGCAGGTTAGATACTTTTAGGATATAGTCGAAATATTGTAAATCATTGTAAACCTAAGATTTAGGCTGTAACTTAAGTCTAAGTAAGATCACTTTTTACCTGTGGTGTGGGTTGGATTATCGTTAAGCTTAGGTTCATGATTCATCATTTAAACCTTAGGTAATGGTCAGCTAGTTTGAAATCTTAGGCTTAGGTTAGATCATTGTAAACTTTAGGTATATGTTAGATCATTGTAAACCTTAGATTAATGATTGATCATTTTAAACCTCAGGTTTAGATTAAATTATTGTAAACCTTAGGTTTAGGTTAGATCATTGTAAAGATTAGGTTTAAACTGGATTATTGTAGGTTTGATCCTTGTAACTTTAATAAAGTTTAGGTTTATTCATTGTAAACCTTAGGTTTTCTTTGAACCGTTTTAAGCCTTGGGAATAGATAGATAGATATATATTTGACTAAATATTTTAATAAATAACAATTAAACAATTTTTACATTTTAATTTAGTCAGGACCTCTCTAATCATTGCTGAATGAGAGGCCCTTTTTCAGCGATAAATAGAAGGGATCAAACTCTATATAATCTAGGAGATGACACTACTTCTAAGTTTGTAGGATGATTGTAGAATGGATTAAACTCTAATCTAGGAGATGATACTACTGCTAAGTTTGTAGGATGATTGTAGAATGGATTAAACTCTAATCTAGGAGATGATACTACTGCTTAGTTTGAAGGATGATTGTAGAATGGATCATCCTAGAATACTTCCAAGAATAGTTGACTGTGTAGACTATACTAACTACCAGCAAGTCAGGTTTAGTTTAATAATATTCTTTATTAAAAAATGCTGAATACATAGTAAGAGATTCAACCAGGAAAGTGTGATGTGTTTTATAATTTCATATTTGCTTCAAAAAATAATCAAACGATTTATGAAAAAAACAAAAAAAAATTCTTTAGGGATCTCCATGATCTTCTGGAAAGATGGCCACGGGTTCCAGTTGAGTGTGCTTTGCAACTTCTAGATCAATCTTACCCCGATCAAAGGGTTCATGATTTTGCAGTTCAATCACTCAGGTAGATCAAACATACCCTGACCAAAGGGTTCATGATTTTACAGTTCAATTTTAAACACAAAGCACAGGGTATGTCATAACAGTTTTATACTCTCCTCGATAAACCTTGTATTTGCTCAGTTTATGGATGTTATGTTATCTTGTAAAATTAGTCTCTAGATATCTGCATACAGGAACCGAGCAATAAAATGTTTTTCAAAAACCCTTAAGTTTATGCTTATAAAAGGGCCCCCCCCCCATTCCTCAAGGACGAGACTCCAAGAGACAGAATTAGTTTCTTTTATTCGTTTAAAAACACTTAAAGTTAATCTATCATTAGGACATTGAATCTATTGTTAAGAAAATGCTGTTTAGTCATAATCTGTAAAGATTTTTGGATCGTGAATTGTTTATGCATAACTTGCCTAAACTATAATTTCAGTTACTAATGATTTTATCCTAGGGAAGGGTCAGATGAGGAGCTGGAGATGTATCTGAACCATCTTGTTCAAGCTGTTAAACATCAGAACTTTTTCCATAGTTCTCTAGTAGAGTTTCTTCTAGGTAGGTCTAGAGTACTATAGGTTTAAGATCCTAGAGAACATGTTCAAAATTCTAGAGAATAGGTTCAAAATTCTAGAGAATAGGTTCAAAATTCTAGAGAATAGGTTCAAATTCTAGAGAATAGGTTCAAAATTCTAGAGAATAGGTTTAAAATTTTAGAGAAGAGGTTCAAATTCTAGAGAATAGGTTCAAAATTCTAGAGAATAGGTTCAAAATTCTAAAGAATAGGTTCAAAATTCTAGAGAATAGGATTAATAGGTTCAAGATCCTAGAGAATAGGTTCAAAATTCTAGAGAATAGGTTCAAAATTCTAGAGAATAGGTTCAAAGTTCTAGAGAATAGGTTCAAGATCCTAGACAATACGTTCAAGATCCTAGAGAATAGGTTCAAAATCCTAGAGAATAGGTTCAAGATCCTAGACAATGCGTTCAAGATCCTACACAATACGTTCAAGATCCTAGGGAATATATTTAAGATCCTAGAGAATATGTTCAAGATCTTAGACAATACGTTCAAGATCCTAGAGAATAGGTTCAAAATTCTAGAGAATAGGTTCAAGATCCTAGACAATACGTTCAAGATCCTAGAGAATAGGTTCAAAATCCTAGAGAATAGGTTCAAGATCCTAGACAATGCGTTCAAGATCCTACACAATACGTTCAAGATCCTAGGGAATTTATTCAAGATCCTAGACAATACGTTTAAGATCCTAGGGAATATGTTCAAGATCCTAGAGAATAGGTTCAAGATCTTAGAAAATAGGTTCGATATCCTAGAGAACAGGTTCAATATCCTAGAGAATAGGTTCAAGATCTTAGAGAATAGGTTCAAGATATCTAATCAATCTTTGCTCAGAGAGAACCCTGAAAAATCAGAGATTAGGACATCAGTTCTTCTGGATTCTCCGGTCTCAGATCCGTCCTGACTCCGCAGCTCTGAAACTCCCACTAGTTCTAGAAGCATATCTTCTAGGAGCTCCAGGGCATATGAGAATACTAGGTTGGCAAAATAACCAAATTATATTGTAATATTTTTGAGAGAAAAAAAAACTTTTTGGGTCTGAAGAAAAGGTATTAAAAAACCTTGAAAATTAAGCACTTTAATAATATTCTTGTAACATTCAAAAGCGATTTATAAAGAAACTAATTAGTCGCCAAAATCTCTAAATTCTTTTCTATTTATCTTTACAACCTGCGGCCAAATTTAAAGAATTTAAACCCCGTCGCTCAACTCAAATCTCGAAAAACTTAATACATTTTAAAGTTGAACCATCCACGTTTGAGCCGCGGCTCAAATTCTTTGAATTCGGCCTCTGATGGTGTAAACCTTGATATTTTATACTTGGACTATTTGATCTGACAGAAATAAAATTTTGAAGTATCAGTGTTCGGCACCAAGTTCAAAAGATATATGGATTAGAGAATCTAGAGTTTGAGGCAAGCAATCAGTTCTTTTGAGAAACTTCAAAGAATTTTAGGTAGGACCGGATTTATGCCCCCGCCCCCCCCCCCCCAGTTGCGCCAATAATGAAATAATAAAAATAATGAATAATTCAGAGAAACAACGTGATTTTCTCCGAAAATTGAAATCAATGTCAAACTGTCTGGAGATGTATGACAGGTTGGATAAGAATTTAATGTCTTAATCATAATAGATAAATTCAAGACAGAATACAGTGACCTCGATAGTAAAGTGGAATATGGCTTTTGATTAAAAATACAGCTGAGAATTTAGACCACTATTATACTACTGCAAGACTTTCAAAATATATGATGTAATTTAACAGTGAAACCGTACCCTGAAGATATTTGTTTAGAAAAGGGTTTTCTATCCAGACAAAACGAAAACTGTTTCTAGAGAATATCAACAAGTTTCTGTCTCCTCTAGGAAACTGATGTTACGAATAGAGAAAATCCACGAAATGTTTTTTTTAAATCCACGATTCCAAATTTTAAATTTTTACATAGAAAACAATGAGGTAATTACATTTAGGTTTAATATGAAGGACAAACTAAAACTACTTTATTCCCTGCAGTTTCGAAGTTTTAGAAATATTCTAAATTCGAAACATTTTTACAAGTATAGTTTTGGAAGAGGGATTTATTTGTCCTTTGGATCCAACCCTCCGATGTAGTCGGATATCACTAAAATCTTGCTCTATCATGAACTCAAAGAAGATGCCGATCAAACTGGTTTTTCAGCACTACGACTCCAGGTACCAAGGCAGACAGGAAAACCAGAAGTCAAGGGAGAGTGCCAGGATGGTTGAAGGTAACCGGAGTAAGGATGAAACTGTGGAAGATGGAGAAAACGTCCCTAGCAAGAGGATTTGTTTCATGTATAAATGTGGCGATGATCTTAGACAAGATTCTTTAGTTCTCAACATAATAAAGGTTAAGACTTTTTAACTCTACTTTAGCTTTCACCAGGTTAAGGCTTGAAACAAGACTTTATCATTTAATGTAAAAAATGGAGATACTTGAGTATTTCTTTGACTCCATGATGGTTTTGTTTGATCCAGTATATCTAGTTGATGGATGCTATCTGGAAGCAAGGTGGTGTAGATTACAAGATGAACAGTTATCAATGCGTCCCAACCTCACACAATGAAGGTTTGATCGAGATTGTTCCCCAGGCACAAACTATCTGTCAGATACAAATGGAGGTTAGAATTTTACTCCGTCCTGACAACAAGGTTGGATTTAACCTAGGTTTGTTCAGGAGAGTTCTCAGGATAGATCAGGAGATAGAGCAGCATGGACTTTCAAGTATACAGCAGTTTTCCAGAGGGAACTTTTATACAGGTAGTTTCAGTTTAAACTAGTTTAAAGTTTGAGGTATTTTCAGGTCCAGGTGGTTCAAGTTCCAGGTAGTTTCATTCAAGCTAGTTTAAAGTTTGATGTAGTTTCAGGTCCAGGTGGTTTTAGATAGTTTCATTTCCGTGTAGTTCAAAGTAGTTTTAGTTCCAAATTGTTTAAGTTGCTGGTAGTTTCAGTTACAGGTAGTTCCAGGTAGTTTCGGGTAGTTTCGGGTAACTCCAGGTAGTTCCAGGTAGTTCCAGGTAGTTACAGGTAGTTCCAGGTAGTTTCAGGTAGTTTCGGGTAGCTCCAGGTAGTAAAGGTAGTTACAGGTAGTTACAGGTAGTTTCAGGTAGTTTCGGGTAGTTACAGGTAATTCCAGGTAGTTCCTGGTAGCCGGTAGCTCAAATAAGTTTCGGAAACCGGAAAATGGTAAATGAATATCATCAAAGTGTAAGTTAGATATATTTAAATAAGTAGTTTCCTCATGCCACATTGTTTAAAGATGGATTTGTCGCCACAACCCGGAGAACTTATCCAACGCTTTAGAGAACTTCAAGCTCTCCCTGGCCGGGTATACAGTAGCCATGTACGTTCTCGGCATAGGAGACAGGTATCTACATAGAGTACAATTATCAAATATTATAAACTTTTTTCGACTTCTTGAAACCCCATAACAATTTCAATGAAAACGATGCTCAACCTTAACTGAAATGAGAGTATGAGACTAGAGGTATAAGGTTTGTGTCAAGGAGTATGGAATAGAGGGGAGATACAACTGACGCGGCCCAACCTACCATATGATTATGCACGCTTTGCAGACGGGTACTCCATTTGTATAAGAAATATTCAGAATAGGTTATTGTATACGCAGTAATTGTACATCAGACAAATAATTCTTATACAAATGAAGTACCGTCTGTAAAGCATGTATAATCATATGGTTGGTCGAACTGCGTCAGTTATATCTCCTTTCTATTTCATCCTCCTTGGTTTGTGTACAGTCTGCTATCTAAGATCGCTCTAGAACTGCTTAGTTTTATTTTGAGGAGCAAATCCAACACTACTAACAGTTAAATCTAAACAAAAAAAGTAGTTGGACTAGTCGTGGTTAGTTCAACTGCCTTTCTCTCGTTTCCACGGCTCTTCTCTAATTGCTAGAGTTTATGTTGTATATGACTTTTTGGTGTTTAAGAAATCTAAGAAGTAATCATTCAATATTTAAGATTAATTGTATCTTCTAAAAGGTTCTATTTTCACACTATGAACAAAGTTTACTAAAATTGAACGAAACTCCAGAGTTTTTGGGGTCTTAACATTTGTGTAGATTTTGATTTAAGAGATTGGAAAAAAATGAGAATATGAAGTAACTAAATAAAATATTAGTCCATAACAAAAATATTGATATCCACAAAACTGCCTAACCCCATTCCTGAAACCTGGGTTTCATAATGATACCCTGTCTTAAGTTTTGGGCTCTGAGGATAAAATCGTGTACATTTAATATTGATTAACCGACTATAAAATATCTTAACGCAAATGAGCGTTCTGTAAAACCACATAAATCTGACTTTTTTTTAATCAAATAACGATATCCCTACCATGGGTTCAATTGAGATATTTTGATTTGTAAAGAAACTACAGATCAAGGATGATACACCAGAAACCTTCGCACTTTAGTTTCGGGACGGAATGGGACTGTGCACTATGCAGTTTTCTTAAATTTAATTTTATATCTTTCTTAGTCTTCCTTAACAACTGTGTACCAAACCCTAAAATCAAATTTGACCTTCAGATCGTCAGAATTGTAGAGTTTTATGTCATCATTAAAGTTTTATAACATAAATTTCACTACATGGGGATCATTCATTAGGTGTACCGTCCCGTTTTTCTTTATAAATTCGGTATTTACACTGTACAGCATGCTCTAGCTGATTAAAATTCAGCCCGGTAATTGAAATATTATTATTCTTTCTTGGTAATAATGTATCATGTTCCAGGCACAATGATAATATAATGCTGCAAACCTGTGGAAAACTGTTCCACATTGATTTTGGGCACATGGTCGGGAACTTTAAATCCAAGATGGGAATTAACAGGGAACGATCTCCTATGATTCTTCCTCCCATGTTCCTTTTCGTTATTGAGCAGATTGGTCCGGAGCAGTTTCAAGTTTTTAGAAATTTGTGTGAAAAAGGTAATTATAATAAACCACTTTTTTCAAAAATTTCCTTTATTATTCATCTATTATTTTGTCAATTTAAATAATTTATCAAATCTAAAAAAATTCTCTATGATTTTTAAGCTCAATTCATAATTTTTCATCCCATTTAATCATAATTCGTCATATTTCATCACATTTAATCGTATTTCATCCTTTTTCATCACGTTTTATATCAATTAATCATGTCAAGTATCGTATTTCATCATATTTCATCATATTTCATCCTATTTCATCCTTTTGCATCCTATCATATTTCATAAATTTTCATAGATTTTTACCATATTCAATAATTCTGTAATATTTTCATAATTTTAATTTAAATTGCTTTTAGGGTACCTGATGCTGCGTGAGTGTGGATCTTTAATAGTTTCTCTTCTTGCGATGATGGTTTTTACAGGTTCAGGTTCTTTTTCCAATTTTCATGTAAATAAAAAATCGTATTAAATTTAATTATTCAATGTCACGTTAATTTTTTGGAAGTGTCATTGATATTTTAAGATAGCTCACATTGTTCTGAAATTGTCCGAAGTGTTCCGAAAATGTCTGAAAAGTTCCCAAAATGTTCAAAATGTTCCCAAAATGTCCGAATGTTTCAAATTAAACCGAATTGTTTGACTGATATCTACAGGACTACCTGATCTACAGAGTGTGGAGGATCTAGAGTATATTAGACATAGTCTTCAGCTTGATGATAATATTGATGATGAAGGTGCTCTGAAACACTTCAGGTTAAACTAGAGATATTAAAGGGAGTGTTCGCGAAAAATGTTATGATACTTATAAACTATATAAGTAAAGCGGTATCTATATCAATTCATTATTTATGAAACTATTGTGTACTTTATCATTCTTACTCACTTCATCGTGAATTTCATAATGACCGTGCTATAAAGTTAAATTAGCTGTACATTATAGCATGTGTGCTATAAAGTTTTAATTGGTTCCCGGATTTTCTCCAAAATATTTAGGATATTTCCAAAATATTTTTTCAATTGAAATGAAAATAAAATTGAAATCAACTTCTGTTGTTTCAAAGCTTATTTGATCTAGAAACAGCCATTGAAATATAAGACAAGCACACAAACGTTTCATAAAATTACCTATAACCCTATTTTCTCGCCTTTTTAGATTATATTTTGTCCCGATCGCTAAAGTTCGGCAGAAAATTAAATCTAAAAAGGCTTGAACCTTCTCGATAAAGAGAAAATGTCTGTCCAAAAACTTTATAAAATTGCGAATCAAAATAACAGCGTTATAAACAGTTATTATTGAATATTTTAAGGGGTTATTTTTTGTTCAGGCAAGAGTTTGATCTTTCACTGAAGGAGTCCTACACAACAACAATAAACTGGTTTTCCCATACCCTCAAACAAATGTAAACAATAACAATAAAATATAAACAATCAGTGTATACAGTGTATACAGGGGCGTATACAAGATTTTCCCAGGGGTGGCTTAATCTTTTTTTGACATTCCAGGGGGGTTCTCAGCAATTTCGCTGGGTGGCTGAATCTCCCCTCAATCATAGTGTTCACATCCTCTAAGGGGCATAGAAGGTAGAAAGGGGGGGATGTATACAGGGGGGGCCCTTGTATACACCCCTGAGTGTATATAAAGAAATACTTGTGATTAATACTTTAAGATGAAGTCAGGCCTCCCTTGAGCTTATCTAAACAGCTCGTGCTGTGGGAAAGATAAACAAGGCTTGAACTGCATGAAAAACAAGCAACTGCTTGGAATTTGTTTGCTTTTCTCAGGTTCAGAGTCAGGCAGTAAAATTTGTACAATATAGGTCTATAAGGTCTATAGGGACAATGTTTGAATTCGAACTGAATTGTTTGAAGAGAAAAATAAATAAAGAATGTCAAATAATGGTTGTTTAAGTGCAAAGGTGCAAGAATTCTTTATGCTAGGTTTGTTTATTTGGCGTTTCAAGATTTTACAATTTCATGACGTAATTACGTGTTGCAGGCAGATTTATGTCTCCGTTTTGCGGATTTTGAATACAGATTTCGTACTTTCTTCATTTTCATGGTTTGTTTTAAAAGTTTCCTCCAGGGGGGGGGGTCATGATACAAGGGAGAGGGAAGAAAGTCTATTTCAAGCCCCCCTCCCCCTTCCTTGCCATACACAAACAAACATTTTCCTAGATAGTCGGCGCTGCTAGAGATGTTATAAGAGGGAGGGAAACCCTGTGAATGGGAAACAGATTAAGACTTTTTTCAAAAATAGTAGGCTTTTAATTTCACAGTGGCAAATGAGATACTTGATGTGGGAAGAGGGGATGACCCCCCACCCTCCTCCTGTTCCTTTGTTATGTAGGAGAGAAAAGTGTTGAAATAACCCTGGGTTTCTAATTATTTCTCCGGGGGGGGGGGGGGTTACATCGGTGTCCACCAGGAATCGATTACACGGGTTGAGGGTTTGCACAAAACTAGGAAAATTGAGATCTTCAACTTGGTGTGAAGGATCCTAACAAATTTCTTTCTATTCTCTCCTCTCCCCTCTCTTCTCTTGATTCTCCACACCTTCTCTCCTCTCCCCTTTCTTCCCTTGATTCTCCACACCCTCTCTCCTGTCCCCTCTCCTCCGTTGATTCTCCACACCTTCTCTCCTGTCCCATCTCTTCCCTTGATTCTCCACACCTTCTCTCCTGTCCCATCTCTTCCCTTGATTCTCCACACATTCTCTCCTGTCCCCTCTCTTCCCTTGATTCTCCACACCTTCTCTCCTGTCCCCTCTCTTCCCTTGATTCTCCACACCTTCTCTCCTGTCCTATCTCTTCCCTTGATTCTCCACACCTTCTCTCCTGTCCCCTCTCTTCTCTTGATTCTCCAAACCTTCTCTCCTGTCCCCTCTCTTCCCTTGATTCTCCACACCTTCTCTCCTGTCCCATATCTTCCCTTGATTCTCCACACCTTCTCTCCTGTCCCATCTCTTCCCTTGATTCTCCACACCTTCTCTCCTCTCCCCTCTCTTCCCTTGATTCTCCACACCTTTTCTCCTGTCCCCTCTCTTCCCTTGATTCTCCACACCTTCTCTCCTGTCCCCTCTCTTCTCTTGATTCTCCACACCTTCTCTCCTGTCCCCTCTCTTCCGTTGATTCTCCACACCTTCTCTCCTGTCCCCTCTCTTCTCTTGATTCTCCACACCTTCTCTCCTGTCCCCTCTCTTCTCTTGATTCTCCACACCTTCTTTCCTGTCCCCTCTCTTCCCTTGATTCTCCACACCTTCTCTCCTGTCCCCTCTCTTCCCTTGATTCTCCACACCTTCTCCACTGTTCCATCTCTTCCCTTGGTTCTCCACACCTTCTCTCCTGTCCCCTCTCTTCCCTTGATTCTCCACACCTTCTCTCCTGTCCCATATCTTCCCTTGATTCTCCACACCTTCTCTCCTGTCCCCTCTCTTCCCTTGATTCTCCACACCTTCTCCACTGTTCCATCTCTTCCCTTGGTTCTCCACACCTTCTCTCCGTCCCCTCTCTTCCCTCGATTCTCCACACCTTCTCTCCTGTCCCCTCTCTTCTCTTGATTCTCCACACCTTCTCTCCTCTCCCCTCTCTTCTCTTGATTCTCCACACTTTCTCTCTAGTCCCCTCTCTTCTTTTGATTCTACACACCTTCTCTCCTCTCCCCTCTCTTCCCTTTTGGTTCTCCACACCTTCTCTCCTGTCCCATCTCTTCCCTTGGTTCTCCACACCTTCTCCACTGTGACACTGTCCCCTCTCTTCTCTTGATTCTTCACACCTTCTCTCCTCTCCCCTCTCTTCCCTTGGTTCTCCACACCTTCTCTCCTGTCCCATCTCTTCCCTTGGTTCTCCACACCTTCTCCACTGTGACACTGTCCCATCTCTTCCCTTGGTTCTCCACACCTTCTCCACTGTGACACTGTCCCCTCTCTTCTCTTGATTCTTCACACCTTTTCTTATTTACCTTTTTATTTAATTTATTCTTTCCCTCTTTATTATCTGTCCATTTAGATTAAAGGGATTGCCAACGTAATTCCAAATAATGATTATGAAAAATTGTCCGTATTACATCTTTACCCTTTAAACCTTTATCTGAGTAAAAACAAGAAAGATACAGTCTTTTATCTGAAATGAAGATAAATTATGTAAGTCACCCTTTAGTCTCCGCTGTTTAAATCCGCAAGTCATTCTTATCGAGAAACTCCAATTTTCTCGCAGGCAAAGGTTTAGAACAAGGGTATGTAACTCCTCAAATGAAGGGTCACTTTTGGTTCAAGAATTTACGATCTTTTTTGCTGAAAACTTTAGTTTTCTGTGAAGCACGTTTCCCTGTTTTGCAAACTTGAAGAGCACGGAGTTCTTTATTTGCAAACTTGGAGAGCACGGAGTTCTTTATTCGCAAACTTGAAGAACACGGAGTTCTTTATTTGGAAAATTATCGGAACCAGGTCGTGTAGACTGTATGTAGTCCTTAAAGCAATTATCTCGTCCATGAATAGTGATAAATTTTTGTTCAATTTGCCTGGCTTAAATCCTCCTTCTCTCCCTTTACAATGGGCATATACAGGATTTTTCCGGGGATGGGGGGTACTTATAATTTTGAACTTTCCAGGAGGAAGGGGGGGGGAATTAGCCGTCATCCCCTGTAGGAACCTTAAATTTCAAATTTCCCCTGAATACGCCCCTATCCTCGCCCCTCTCCACCCTAAAAGTTCGATTTCCATCACAATATATTTATTGAGTAAAGAATGTAATCCAGGTTAAAATCTCTCTCCTCTCAATCTACTGGAAACTATTGACATTCTGTAAACTCATGCAGCTGAGATTCATTCTAAAATCTACTATTTTTATCAAACCTTGGAGATAATTAATTTCATCGTGTTTTAATTCTAGCAGGGTTCATCATAAAAACTTGTACAACCATATAAATTTCTGGCATTCACATAAAATGGCATATTTTCGTATTATGTAAGAATTTAGATTATTATTATTATTGTTGTTGATATTGTTATTAATATTAATATTACTATAATCGTCATATTAATATCATTATTATTAAGATAATTATCATTATTATTATTATTAATATCATCATTACATTATAATTATCATTAATTTCAATATTGTTTTAATGATTATTGATATTATTATTATTATTATTTAACTGAATCCCTCCAGTGGAATTATAAACCCCCAGGAAGGATATCTGAATCCCTCCAGTAGAATTATAAATCCCTAGGAAAGATATCTGAATCCCTCCAGCGGAATTATAACCCCTAGGAAGGATAACTGAATCCCTCCAGTGGAATTATAAACCCCCTGGAAATATATCTGAATCCCTCCAGTGGAATTATAAACCCCCAGGAAGGATATCTGAATCCCTCCAGTGGAATGTAAATCACCCTGCGTAAAGTACCTCAAAGACATTTTTAAAGGGACTATAAGCGTAATTTCAAGTGACATTCCATGTAAAGTTAGCACTGCCCGATTCACAACGATACCCTTCAGGCTTTGTCTGACTAAGTATGAATTAGATATGAAGGTTTATAATTTCAAAAATTGATTATTTTAAATTGTGGTTTCTCTTCAAAAGTGACTTGCGCAATTATTATTATTATTATTATTATTATTATAATTATTCAGTACACGTAAAATGCAATTTAAGTGGCTAAGGTCCCTTTAGATGAAAGGTCACTTAGAACTACATATTCAAGTTTTGAAGTTGGTTTGTATCTCCAGTTATTTATTCTAGTTAGCCGATTATTTCTCCCTATTTAAGCATTAACTGATCAAGTTGGCAGTTAGCATTGAAGGTTTGTGGGGTAGAGGAGAGGTTAGATATCTGCTGTCAGAAAACCTGATCAGTTCTCCCTAGATTCATTCTCATTATTGTCTGGATTAAGACGAAGGTGTTTGAATTCTCTAGGCATGTGTCCCATCTCGGTTCCTTCATCTGATAAGCATGACAAATATAAACCTGAACGTTTCTCACGGATACAAAGATACCTAGTTAGGGATACAGAAGTGGGATATATAAGGATACAGGAGTAGGATATAGGAAGGGAATACGATACAGGAGTAGGATATAGGAAGGGAATACGTCGGGATACTGGAGTAGGATATAGGAGTGGGATAAGCAGGGATACAAGAATAGGATATAGAAGTAGGATACATAGGGATACAGGAGTAGGATATAGGAGTGGGATACGTAGGGATACAAGAATAGGATATAGGAATAGGATACATTGGGATACAGGAATATCTCTATGATGATAGGGAGGCTACAAAGAGAATGAGGATCAGGACGCTACACAGAGAAGCATAGAGATAGTAGGGATATAGAAGTATGATACATTGATATATAAAGATGCAGGAGTAGGATACATAGACATAAGGGTGCAAGAGTATGATACATAGATACATGGGAATAGAGAGGAGTAGGATACATAGATACATAGGTATACAGGAGTAGAATGCATAGATACATATGGATGCAGGAGTAGGATTATATACACAGAAATACCTGAGTAGAAGCACCAACAACGCGTTTTCTTACTGAACGTTTCCTTACAAAACTTTTCTACACAAACCGTTTCCTTACAAAACGTTTCCTTATAAACGTTTACTGAATGTTTTCTCACAAAACGTTTCCTACACAAAACCCTGCCACAAAAAGTTTCCTTACAAAACGGTTCCTTACTAAACGTTTCCTCGCAAAGCGTTGCCTACACAAAACGTTTCCTATAAAAAATATTTCCTCCAGATAAACCTTTCACAAAAGGATACATAGAGATACAAGGATACAGGAGTAGGATACATAGATACACAGGGAAACAGTAGTAGCAGGATTATGGGGATATTTAACCTATTGGATAATTATACTGAAGTATCATTATTTTGATCAGGATTCTCGTCGTGTTCTCCTAGTCTTGAGAACTCTGAGAAGAGAAAATAATAGATTTAAGTGCAAGATTTAATCAAACTGTAGTGTAAAACCAGTATGCCAAAAAATAAAATCTTTACAGAAATAGATTAAATTGGAGACAGGAAAAAGGCAGCTAATAAATATAAAGAGTTTAAATATCAAAGTCGAGAAATAGTGTCACAAGAGAGTTATGAAAAAAAGTCCAGTTTTTGAACTTTTACAAAACAAAACGTTTTACTTACCTTTAAGAAAGGGGGTTTCCTTTCTTATTGTTTGAGAAAGGAGAATAGAGTTCCATTCATAGATAGTTCTAGAGTTCCATCCATGGATAGTTCTAGAGTTTCATCCATAGATAGTTCTGGAGTTCCATCCATAGATAGTTCTGGAGTTCCATTCATAGATATTTCTAGAGTTTCATCCATGTATAGATCTAGAGTTCCATTCATAGAATGTTCTAGAGTATCATCCATAGATAGTTCTGGAGTTCCATCCATAGAAATTTCTAGAGTTTCATCCATAGCTAGTTCTATAGCTTCATCTATAAATAGGTTTAGAGTTCCATAAATTCTAGAATTAGTCTAAAAAATCTAAACAAGAATTCGAGCTGTACCCTGGGAAGGACGGAGCTAAAAGCTATTATTTCGTTATTTCTTTATTATCTTTACTGCAAAATATTTAGAATTTTATCCTTTTACTCCTGGACCACACACTTTACAGTCCAAATGTACCGTCCACAGAGAGAAAATAGATTACGGAGTAACAGCAAATATATGAAAGAGTACAGTAGATGAAACTGGAGAATAAGTAAACATCCTGGTGACATTTCAGTATCCAGTCTTAGACAAAATGTTTAAAAATGTAAACTAAAGTGCTTCAATTTGTCGTAAAATTAGTGTTTTATGTTTTTTGTTTTCTCATTTACTGTGTTAGTTAATGTCTATATAAAAAACCACGACATAGAACTGTGTCACATTTGACCCTTGACAACATTCATATTTTCTTCCAAAAGGGAATGGGCATATTTCCCCTCAAATGACACAAATTTTCACCACGCCTTCATTTTTAGAGCTATTTTCTTGAGATTTTGCAAGAAGGTCAGATTAGTGATAAACTCCAGGAATATATTTTCAACATGTTTACAATAAAAAATATAATAACGTTTTTCCCGCATTTTCCTCGTTTTCTTTTTCCTGATTTAAGGCACAAACTGGGCCTGTATTATGATGGATAATATCATTCCTGATTTTTGTTTTTTGTTTATTTTTTCCTTCTTTTGTTTCCCGCATTTTTCCCTTGGAAATTAAATTTGATTTCCTATCTTTATTTATGGAGATTTCCCGTTCAAACTTTGGATTCAGATCAAAATTAACTTTCTCGACTATAAATAAAATTCCCCTCAAAAAAAATTTTTGGTATTTTTTCTATTTATTTCTTTAATGAAAACTTTCGGCCCATTGACAAAAAAATATTTTGGAGTAAAAAAATACGCACAATCCAACAACTGAGGTTTTATTCAAATAACTAAATAGGTGAAAATTCAGTTTATAAATATGTCTTTCCAAAAATAAGGCGCTTAGCATGCTAAATTCGACAATGGCAAAATTGAATGCTAACTCTGTAAATCCTCCTTCGCTATGGATGGAAATGTACTAAACCTTAACCTTGGAGACGGTATTTGCTAAATACAGATTCCTAGAGTTCAGCAAATATTATTATTGGAGTAATCCAGGTTAATGTTTGTCGGTCTATTTGTTTCTATCCAAATACATGGGTGTGTACAAATCAGTTCTTAAGTATACGTAATATATGTACAATGAATTCGTTACGCTCGGCGTTTCTCTTCTCGTAAACATTTCTGTTATTCTACTGAGAGACCATGAGGAGAACATGAACCTTGGAAAGAGTAGAATAGAGGAGAACATGAAGGCTGAAATAGAGTAGAGGATAATATGAACCTTGGAATAGAGTAGATTAGAGGAAAACATGAACCTTGGAATAGAGTAGAGGAGATCATGAACCTTGGAATAGAGTAGAGGAGAACATGAATCCTGGAATAGAGTACAGTAGAACACGAACCCTGTAATAGAGTAGAGGAGAATATGAAACCTGGAATAAAGTAGAGTAGAGGAGAACATGAACCCTGGAATAGAGTAGAGTAGAGGAGAACATGAACCTTGGAATAGAGTAGAGTAGAGGAGAACATGAACCCAGGAATAGAGTAGAGTAGAGGAGAACATGAACCCTGGAATAGAGTAGAGGAGGACATGAACCCTGGAAAGAGTAGAGTAGAAGTGATTAAAGCAGATTAAAAGGGCCTTATTAAATAGTCAGAATAACTTTTGCATTAGGAAAACATGAACCCTGGAATAGAGTAAAGGAGTACATGAACCCTGGAATAGAGTAGAAGAGTACATGAACCCTGAAATAGAGTAAAGTAGAGGAGAACATGAACCCTGTAATAGAGTAGAGGAGAACATGAACCCTGGAATAGAGTAGAGTAGAGGAGAACATGAACCCTGGAATAGAGTAGAGTAGAGGAGAACATGAACCCTGGAATAGAGTAGAGGAGGACATGAACCCTGGAAAGAGTAGAGTAGAAGTGAACATGAACCCTGGAATAGAGTAGAGGAGTACATGAACCCTGGAATAGAGTAGAGTAGAGGAGAACATAAACCCTGGATAGAGCGGAGTAGAGGAAAACATGAACCCTGGAATAGAGTAGAGAAGAGGAAAACATAAACCCTGGAATTGAGTAGAGTAGAGGAGAACATGAACCCTGGAATAGAGAAGAGGAAAACATGAACCCTGGAATAGAGTAGAGTAGAGGAGAACATAAAACATGGATAGAGCGGAGTAGAGGAGAACATGAACCCAGGAATAGAGAAGAGGAAAAAATGAACCCTGGAATAGAGAAGAGTGCATAGAGAGAGATTATTGTAATATGTAAAAATATATGTAATTATGTAAAAAACACTCCTTCGTCCAACAAGGTATAAAAGTAGAGATTAAGAGTAGAGCAGATTAAAAGGGCCTTATTAAATAGCCAGAATAACTTTTGCATTAGGAAAACATGAACCCTGGAATAGAGTAAAGGAGTACATGAAACCTGGAATAGAGTAGAGGAGTACATGAACCCTGAAATAGAGTAAAGTAGAGGAGAACATGAACCCTGTAATAGAGTAGAGGAAAACATGAACCCTGGAATAGAGTAGAGGAGTAAATGAACCCTGAAATAGAGTAAAGTAGAGGAGAACATGAACCCTGGAATAGAGTGAAGTAGAGGAGAACATGAACCCTGAAATAGAGTAAAGGAGTACATGAACCCTGGAATAGAGTAGAGGAGTACATGAACCCTGGAATAGAGTAGAGTAGACGAGAAAATAAACCCTGGATAGAGCGGAGTAGAGGAGAACATGAACCCTGATCATAATAGTATATATTTGAATCCTGTAAACCTGATTTCACCTGATTAAGTTTCTTGGCAATATAGGTTGAATATCATATCATCTCTCGCCCCCATGTGCTACCGTGAGAACCTGAGTTGGCCTATCCTCCCATGCCTGTGTCCAGCAAGGCAGCTGCTTGTCTCCTATTGGCCTGAATATATGCGTAGGTGTGGCGGCAGGTTGAGCACAGGCCAATACTAGTTTAAGAACAATGTAAAGAATAATCTGAATGATTTAATTTTAAAAAGATTATAATTTAGGGAAAGAATTTCAAAAAGTTTTTTTTCCAGTTTCCGACATAGGAGTTGGGAGCTTTTGAATTGCATCTTGTTGGAAGAGCTTAAATCTGTATATTTAAAAGTTTCTAGCTGTGATTTGTGGTTACTACCTCAAGGAGAAGAATACAATAGATTCAGATGAAGACTTGTTCAACATAATTTCATGTTTTATAAATATGTAAAATTGCTATGGGAAATGATTTTTTAAACAGAATAATGTATCCTTTTATATCAATGTTGTTGAAAACTAAAACTTTAAACCTTCAGATTTTAGAATTATAAAACAAAAGTTCCGAGATTTTCTTGATTACCAAAGACATGAAAGATTTTGTAAGATCTTTTTTAGCCAACTATGAGAATACAAACAATATAATCTAAACTAAAGAGATTGTCAATAAAGTAATCTGTCATGGAGAGAATATGCTTTACAGTGGAGAGAATATACTTTACAGTGGAGTATATACTTTACAGTGGAGAGTTTATACTTTACAGTGGAGAGTATATACTTTACAGTGGAGAGTATATACTTTACAGTGGAGAGTATATACTATACAGTGGAGAGTATATACTTTACAGTGGAGAGTTTATACTTTACAGTAGAGAGTTTATACTTTACAGTGGAGAGTATATACTTTACAGTGGGGAGTATATACTTTACAGTGGGGAGTTTATTCTCTACAGTGGCAATCATGTCAAATACCAAGGCGACTATGTAGAATACTCATTTAGAATTTCTACATGTCAACTGTGACCCAACTAGGAACAGATTTGAAAAATGTAACTTTTATAATGGTATTCTCTTCCGTTATAAGCACAATGTTCAACTATTCCAGCTATTTACTAGATTCCTTTTAACCCTAACAAGCCATTGTTCAATCCTTCCTAGAACTCCTGGGTTAGAAGTCAAAACTAGAAAATGCGGGGTTAGCCAGAGTTCTCAACAGTTCGACAACCATGCCAACCCTCTGGGAAAAAAGATTATAAGAAAGAAAATTCCTTTGAATAGTTTAAATTCCAAATACGGGATCAGGAGTCGCGGGTAGGATTAGGTTTACAATCATTTATGCTCAGGTTTGGGATATTCTTCAGGTTTAGGATGGATCAGGGATCTCTAGGTAGCAAGGAGAACAGGCCCGGAAGAAAGGCTCATTATTATTCAAGTTAAGAATTAATGAGGAGAATTGTGTATGTTACAGGATTAATTAAGTTTCTCCGGGTACCAGCACCAGCTCAGATAACCTGTGACCCGAGCTCCAGGTTCTCATCTACTCCTCTAGTTTCTAATTGACCCGATCTTGCTCTGATAATAATCTTGTTCTCACACTCAAACCACCCCAGGTTTCTCTCCGGGCCAAACCCGGCCTGAGACGCTCATTCAATCCTAACCTTTACATCCTTTCTCAGATCCTCTAACACTCTAATTCTCTATACTTAATATAATCTCAGCCATTATTTTCCTTCTCAACCTGCTCCTTCATATTTCTGAGCTAATATTCTCGACTCAAGGAACTTAAGTATCATATTAGTTCGACTCTTCTTGTATCATGAAGGTTCAAATTCACATGCATTTTGGGCGAATATATTGTATTCCTGTATTGTATAGAGAACTTAAAGTATAGGTTGCATTCCTGTATTCCTGTATTATATACAGAGAACTCTAAGAAGTAAGTAGTCTCAGGAATTGAGAGAACTATACAGAGGGATACATTATAATATATAGTCCTTGAATCGGGACTACAGAGGACTACAAAGAGGAGTAGTCTCATGGGACTACTCAGGACTTCAGAGGGCAATACAGAACTATACAAATGGATACATTGTATTATGTAGTCCTTGAATTGGGACTACAGTGGACTAGAAAGGGGAGTAGTCTCAGGAGACTACTCAGGACTTCAGAGAGTAATACAGAACTAAACAGGGGATACATTGTAATATATTGTCCTTGAATACTAAATGGGCCACCTAGGGGACATGTAGTAGACTTAATATAGAATAACAGCATTTTTAAGGCCAAGGGGGGGGCAAAAAATTTTTTTCGCGCTTCGCGTGAAAACTTGCCCCCCCCCCCCGCTGGCTTAATTCCTGTGTACGCGCCTGATTGTATGCATTGCATCCCTGTATTTCTGTAATATATATTGTATCCCTGTATTCCTGTATTGAATATTGTACCTCTGTATTCCTGTATCCCTGTACTATATTTTGCATACCTGTATTCCTGTATCCCTGTATTCCTGTATTTCCAATATTTCCCAGCGACCAGTTCTGTAATTGAATTGATTTAACCAGAATCAAATCTCCGGAAACAAAGGATTGAATCAATCTTAATGTTAAACCAAAACATCATAATTATGTCCATTGATTGCACATTTGATTCAAGTCTTTCTTCACACCTGGAAACCGGAAGATACAAGGTGTGTCATATAAAATTGATTTTGATAATTTCCTATCTCTCGATTTATGGACCCCTCCCCCTCCCTTACATTAAACATATGCTCCCGTAGAATACTTCCCAGGTTGGTCCTAGCCATAGCGGTCAACTCCCGCGCTAGTAGTCTCAGCTGCAGCGCTCTGTCCCATAGTCTGTCCTGAACGCGACGCTCGGCCCATAAAATCGGAAAATCGAAGAAAAGTTAAAATCAAGGTTTGCAGGATTATCTTCAAGAATGAGAATGTTATAGTGAATAAAGTATGAAATAAGTATGAATAAAGTATGCATGCGAAAAAAAATAAAAGGAATGATCGAATAAAGTTTAAAATCAAGTTTCGCAGGTTTATCTACAAGAAGGAGAATATAAGAATAAATAAAGTAAGAAAAATAAGGTTTGTGCATGCGAAATAATAAAAGGAATGACCAAAGGAAGGCTAAAATCAAGGTTTGCAGGTTTATCTTCAAGAATGAGAATGTAAGAATGAAGAAAGGATGGATAATGTTTGTATTTAAGCATGCGAAACATACGAAGGAATGAGAGAAGGAAGGTTCGAATCAAGGTTTTGAACCATCAGAATATGAAGACTAAAGTAGAAATGGATAAAATCTAATTTTGAAGTATTATATTTAAAATTGAACCTTTAAGCTTGAATACAGACATTCAAAAAATAAAGGTTTAGAGGGTTTGTATTTAAGAAAGAATATATGAGAATAGATAGATAGAGGGAGGAGAACTCCAAAAAGAATAGAGGATGGATACGATCATGGTTCATGATTAACCATGAAAGAATAAATAAGGAATGTATAAAATCAAGGTTGATGTTTAAGAAGGAGAAATAGAAAACGAAGGAAATATTTAATCAAGGTTTTAAGCATGGATAAAATCTTGGTCTGATGAGTCAGGATTAAGCATGAAAGAATGAGTAAGGAATGTATTATATCAAGGTTTGATGAAGAATATGTTTAAAGTGCATGCCTTGTATTCTCTACAGGTGCATTTGCTCCTTATCGCTCCTGAGAATGTCAAGTCATCTGATAGCCATGACTGAGACCGGAGTTAAGGCAGGATTCCCACGACCTGACAAAACCCTGTGTATCTGGGCCCGACCCAACCACTGCTCAGAGATCAGTCACGTGATCAAACTAGAGTACTTTCCCTCTCCATGAGATAAGGATTGTTTTCTCTCCAGTATTGTCTAAACCACCGCCCACACAACAACAAGGATGAAAACCGGTAATCTCGTCAGGATTTTGAAAAAGTTGTTGAAAAGACGGAAACCCTCCTCAGTCTCCGCTCCTTGCATTGAGGTTTTAACAGATGAATTCACAGACCTGGAGAATGAAATGAACTCAGCTCTGGAGAAAAGACTGATTGAAATTATCCGATCTTCGCCTCAATCCTGGGAAGATTCTGGGTTTGTTGTTAAATCAAAACCCGGAGTTCCAGCCAAGCCTGACAGGATTTGCGAGGTGTTTTTCTTCTCTTCCAGTTCTAGTTTGCATACGGAGAACGTCTCAGGATGATTAAGAAGAAATACACGCCGAGGATTGCGACGATAGTTTGTGTTAACTACCCAGAGAAATAAAAACAAGATTCTAAAAATCTAAACTGTTTACTGGAAAGATTAACACCCTGAGAACCATGTTGACATTTAGATCAGGATGTAGAGAAGATTCGAAACAGAAACTGGGACGGAGAAAAACCTGGATATCTCCGGTGCTTGAATACAGAACGAACTGATGCTGGATATCTACAATACATGGATACAGAATTAGAACCAGAACCCGTATTACTCCATTACTTGGATATAGCATCAAAAGGACCTGGATATCTTCGATAATTTGATGCAAAATAAGAATCAGAACCTGGATATCTCTGATATGTGGATATAGAAGGATCGAAACAAACCTGGATATCTCCGATAATTTGATACAAAATAAGAATCAGAACCTGGATATCTCTGATATGTGGATATAGAAGAATCGAAACAAACCTGGATATCTCCGATAATTTGATACAAAATAAGAATCAGAACCTGGATATCTCTGATATGTGAATATAGAAGGATCGAAACAAACCTGGATATCTCCGATAATTGGATACAAAATTAGGATCAGAACCTGATATCTCTGATATGTGGATATAGAAGGATCGAAACAAACCTGGTTATCTCCGATAATTGGATACAAAATTATAATCAAAACCTCGATATCTCTAATATGTAAATATAAAAGGAAACAAACCTGGATATGTCGGAAAATCTAAATATTGTATTGAAATTAGTTAACATTTGAAATAAATAAATGATTTTAAAAGCAATATAAGAATAATAGTATTAATTCTTTGGATTGAATTTCTGAGAAGCTAAGTTTGATAATCCTTTATCATATTTTAACTGAGTAATGTTACCCATAAAACTACAGAATATAAAAACGACATTTAATCATTATTTTAAGTATCTGAATATAATGCTAAAGAACAGTCTAACAGTCTTACTTTTTTATATTTTTATGGGTCTAACTGTATCCATATTCAATTATTTTAGTAATTGTTGTTAACGTAATGATAGAACAATTGATCATCAAAGTTACCTTTTGATAGTTTTAGCTAACATTTGTATTACTCTTTGATCTGATATATAACTTGTTGAGAATTCTCTTGAGGATAAAATTCAGAAATGTAATAAAATGATATTCTGCTCAGAAAGAAGTGCTTATATAATCTGTAGCAGTAACAAATAAATTGAACTATTTTTTTTGTCCTAGGACTACCTTAAACTTTTTACCTATTATTCTATTTCCAGGTGTTTTTCCGGAAACCTTTTCCCGTGACCTTTTTTTACATAGATTCGTAAATACAACTGTTCACTGCAAATGTAAACGTATCTTCAATTACCTTCCGTCTGCTATGCTTGATGATCTATTTGTGACAAACTGTATTTTTTTTTATCATGTTTGCTTTGCTTTTGATTCTGAGATCATCATTATTTAATTAAGTTTTTTTTTCTGATATCTATATAATTTCATAATAATAGTTATGCAAACAAATCATTTTTTAACAAGAGGTTTTTAACGTTTAACTTTTCTATCCAATTTTTTTCCCCAGACTTTTTATGAATTCAAAGAACTTTTAGGAATCGATTTGGCATAATTTAAATCTGATTAATAAATTAAATTTTTAGTTTAATATTTTCATAAAAGGAACTCAAATTTTCTAATCCTTAGATCTTTGCAACCTGATGTAGATCTTTGATATTAAACTAAGAACTCGGTTAGATAATTAGTATGAAATAAGCAATGTTTGCACCAGGTTATAAAGATATAAGGATCAGAAAATTAAAGTTTGTGCTGTGTGTGTTGAGTTCCTTTCTTTAATATTTATCTGAATTGGAATTATATTATATACAACTACATGACGTCTTAATTGTTGTATTGAGATTTCCTTTTCTTTTATAAACATAAAGTTTTCTACCTTTAGAGAACAAAAAACATATCTTTTATTTCAAAACGTTGAACTCACCTCTCAGTATTCTAACCATGTCTTATATGAATGCCTTCTTGTTTCTATCTATCTATTTATCTTTCTATCTAAATATCTATCTATCTATCTATCTAAATATCTATCTATCTAGTTATCTATCTATCTATCTAGTTATCTATCTATCTATCTATCTATCTATCTATCTATCTATCTATCTATCTATCTATCTATCTATTTATCTATCTTTCTATCTATCTATTTATATACTTGTCCTCCTTATAAATCTGAAATATACGTGATAGTGTTGTTGTATACAAGCATAGTATGTATTTATTATTTATTAAGATTAAGATTTATCACAGTAAAGAGAAGTTTTATGGTGTAGACATTTATCAGGTTTTATGTCCACAGTACATAGTGTGTATACTTGAGCTTACAATATAATCCTACAAATGAGCTGGGATTGAGGATTAGCTCCAGATTCAACAGAGAGGTTCAGGTTAATCAGGTTCTCCAGGTTTCAAGGTTTATCTGGTTCTCCTGCTCCATTAGTTCTCCATTTTTATCAGGTTTATCAGGTTCTCCAGGTTTCCAGCTTTCCAGATTTATCAGGTTTTCGAGGATCAAAAGAGAGCTTCGATCAGGTTTTCCAGGATCAACAGAGAGCTTTGATCAGGTTTATCAGGTTCTCCAGGTTTCCAGGAATCCACGTTTATCAGGTTCTCTATGTTCTCCAGGTCTACTGATGTTCTCCAGGTTCTCCAAGTCTACTGATGTTCTCCAGGTCTAAGGGTTTTACCATGGTCTCCAAGATGAATCTGAAGCTTGAGATCTTGAAAGATCCAGGGGACGGTTTTCCATATCTTTGGAAGGTTTGGTTTGAAGAGTGAAGGATTGATGATGTTTCACTCTCTCCAGGTTCAGTAGTCGACTCTGCTCTCCAACTACGGAGATAACGTTGGGTGGTAAGTTGTCAACAATATTCACTGAGTTTGACATCTGAGACAGGACATGATCTACTGCTTTTCTATCCACACCCAGACCCGGAGTAGACAGAAACCTTGCAACCTCGGAAGCACAGGCGGAGAATCCGCTCCTAAACCTATGAGAATACGTAACACTCGGAGTAAGAACTAGAGAATCTGAATTCTTGAGTTTATTCAAATAGTTTACAGTAACCTCCAATATATCAGCTTTCTCCAGTTTACTGGAGTTCTCTCCATTCTCCTCCACCAGAGCACTCATCATCAGTTCCTTCAACTCATCTAAACATTTGTTAATCCGTGCTCTTCTCTTTCTTTCTAGCAAAGGTTTCATCACCTTCCTGTATTCTAATGATCTAGAGATTGGTTCTCCGTATCCATCTAGAACCTGATGTTCGGGTCGGGTTTGCAGAACGGAGCGACCCATATCAAATGTGATTACTCCAACTAATTTCGATAAACTGAAGTTTTAAACTGATACGGATTCTGCAATGTTGTCTGTGAGTGTGTCAACAGTAGCGCCGGGTTCAGGAATTTCTCTCTCCCGACCCTCAACCCCAGTTCCTCTGTTCTCAAGGTGTACCCGGGGCAGAATTAACGACTGCTCCCACGCTCCGGAGCTAGGGGACCACCCTCGCAACTTCTTGCGAATGAGGGGTTGGAAATGCGGGGCCATTACGTGAAATTAGCGCTAGGATTTTCCTAGACTAATTTGAAAACCCTTGGGACAGAAAACACAGGATTATCGGCGTGAGAACGCAAACGAATAAACTCTGGTTAAATGCGAAATAATTAGGTTTTCTTAAACCGTCGCTCTTCTCCTCACTTAATAGGTTTTCAAGCAAACAGCTATTAAAACAAAGTTTAAAAAATAATTAACCTTACGTTGCGTGTAATTAAAAATGGGCAAAATTTGAGCAATTTCATATTAGATTGTTTGTAGATGGAAATGTATGGGAACAGGGTGTCCCCTATCATCTAATTAAAGGGCTCGTTTTTTTGACGACGATATTTTATGTAGATGCGCTTACTAAGTTTTTAAAATATCTTTTTCATGTATTGTATTGATTTGGTACAATCGCACAAAGGAACTGTCAACCATGGCGACCGAATTAAAATTTTTTCATTAATTCAAGAAAGAAGTTTTTTAAACCAAATGTTTATCAAATTTTCGCATGTTAAAGTGAGTCCAAGGGTCATGATGATCCAACAACTTTTTCTAGTGAATTTCCTGGGCTTAAAGCAACAATGTTCAATATCAGAAAAAAATGTCTCTCGCATGGATATCTAGCAAATCCGGGTATTATTGATAAAATACATGAAAGAGGAAAGGGAAAAATAATGAGGAAAACGAGAAAGGATACCAAGGCGACAATAAATATGGAAAATATGAAAAAAGTGTTCAGAAAAGGGTTGAGTAAGAAAGAAAATGATTTAATAAGAAAAAGACAGAATAAATATTCTTCCAGATCCTAAATTAGAACCTATCTTTCTAGAAGGGTTGAATTTGCAGTTGAATTTGATGAAAGAGACGGTGCCGTTTTACCCTTTTTTTCTCTTTCAGAACTGATTATATTCAATTGTGGCGTTCCTTCAAAGGCTTTTAGCTGCAGAGACAATAAAGGAGTTGTCAGAATTGAATACTTTTCAAGCTAAAAAAACTACAATATATTCCACATTATTGACCAGAAAATGGGTTTAATTAAAGGCAAATTGTGAATCGGTCATGTCCTTCTGTAAATAAAGGCTACCTTCAATTACCTTCACTGTCCTATTTAAGAAGTTTGCAATCGTGGAAATACAGATTACAGGAACAAAGAATGGAAGAAAGGGATGAAGAAAGAGAGGATGAAAGAGAGGAAGAAAGAGAGGAAGCAAGAGAGGAACAACGGGAGGAAGAAAGGTAGGAAGAAAGGAAGGAAGAAAGGGAGGAAGAAAGGAAGGAAGGAAGAGAGGAAGAAAGAGAGGAAGAAAGGGAGGAAGAAAGAGAGGAAGGACGGGAGGAAGAAAGAGAGGAAGAAAGGGAGGAAGAAAAGAGGCAAAATTAAAGAATAAACTAAGCAAAAATGCATAAAGGAATTTATGAGGGTGAAGGGAAGGGAGGAGGGATCAAAAAGAACTGTGAGGAGAAAGGAAGTGGATGAAAGGGAGGTGAGAAAGAAGGAGCCGGGGAGGGGGAGGCGAAAGAAAAGGAAAGGAATAGAGGGAGGGGTAGGAGGAAGGAAGGGAAGGGTGGAGAAGGATGGAGGAAAGGGAGGAGAGAGGAAGGGGAGGATCTCTAGGACCTGGATAAAAGCCACGGTTACCAACCACTCATTATTTTCCATTCAACTGAGATTTAGTGTCCAGAGTAAATAGATTTCACACTTCCAGTTCCTGAGTCCCGGCTCTCAATAATTGGTAACCAAGATCTCTCCGTCCCTGTAATTACGTCCAGTCTTCTACTCCCACTTAATCTGCCTGCTGACAATATATGGGTTGGGTTGACACATGAAATATTATCTGTTTTTACAGAAAACATACAGATTGCTCTCTGCTCCTTTATCCTGTAAATTATTATCATTTAGGGAATTATACAGTAGGATTTAGAGCCGGGATCTTTTAAAGGATTTCTATACAAACAGTTTTTGCTCATTTTCCTTCACAATACAGTGTAATGTTAGGGTAGATGGGACACTTCGATATATCTTGGGAATTCAGTTCATCCGTCCAGACATGACCAGATCAACAAACCTAGATGTTCTTAAAAATTCATTCTTGTCTGAGGTGAGTTTTTATATATCACCTTTCATTCAGTATATCAGAATCCAGTATCCAGTATCCAGTATCCAGTATCCAGTATCCAGTATTCAGTATTCAGTATATCCAGTATCCAGTATCCTGTATCCAGTATCCAGTATCCAATATCCAGTATCCAGTATCCAATATCCAGTATCCAGTATCCAGTATCCAGTATCCAGTATCCAGTATCCAGTATCCAGTATCCAATATCCAGTATCCAGTATCCAGTATCCAGTATCCAGTATCCAGTATACAATATCTATTATTCAGTATTCAGTAACCTTTTTCTAGTTTCCACTTCCAGTTTACAGTGGCTTTTATCTAGTATCCAGTTTCCAATATCCATCATTTAAAACCTGCAGTATCCAGTATCTAGTATCTTGTATCCAATATCATTATCTAGTATATAGTATCTAGTTTCTAGTATCCAGTATCAGTATTCAGTATACAGTATGTAGTATCAAGTATACAGTATGTAGTATCAAGTATCTAGTATCTAGTATCTAGTATCTAGTATCAGTATCTAGTATCTAGTTTTTAGTTTCCAGTATCCAGTATCTAGTTTTTTCTAACTATTATCCAGTATCCAGTATCCATTAATCAGTATCTTCTATCTATTATCCAGTATCCAGTATCCATTATCCAGTCTCTTCTATCTAGCATCCAGTATCCAGTATCTAGTATCAAGTAATATCCAGTATCCCGTATCCAGTATCCAGTATCTTCCATCTATCAGTCAGTATCCAGTATCTAGTATCTAGTTTCTTCTATCTATTATCCAGTATCCAGTATCTATCATTCAGTCTCTTCTATCCAGTATCCACTATCCGTCATCCAGTATTTAGTTTCAAGTAATATTCAATATCCAGTTTCTAATGTTTGTGCTGAATATGTATCCAGTATCTATTTACTAGAATCTAGTTCTTAGTATTGAATATCCAGTATCTAGTATCCAGTATCCAGCATCTAGTATCCAGTATCCAGTATCTAGTATTTAGTATCTAGTATCCAGTATCGAGTATTTATTATTTAGTATCTAATATTTGCACAGAATATGCATCTAGTATCCAGTATCGAGTATTTAGTATCTAATATCTAATTTTTGCACAGAATATGCATCTAGTATCCATTATCTAGTATTTAGTATCCTGAATCCGAATAACCTCATCTAATATCTTTATATAATCTTTACAGGAAACTTTTCCTAAAAGCTGACAGTTTTTCCTTTAAACATTTAATCAGAGTATTCAAAAGCTTATCTTGAGTCTAACAGTCGTCTTCCTACTCCACCGTATTATGGGTCCCACTGCATGTACATAATTAATGCAGAAAGATACAGGGTGTCTCTAAAAAATTAGTATTGATATTTGACCATTGTGATTAGAAAAAGAAAAATTATCATCCCTTTCACATTTTACTTCAATAGATTAGAATACGGTTCACAATTACACAAAAGTGATTAAGAATATTGATAATTATAATATGATAAATGCAGGATATCTTGCTGGGTAAAATTTGCGCCCGAACTCCATTAAAAGAGCAGACATAAAGTTTTTCTGACCCTTTCTTTGTGGTCCTCAAAAGCAAGGAATTAATTTTCCTGCAATGTAGACAAAGGTCTTGCTATTCTTCCAGAATAACTGGGCATGTGTTCAGAAGATTTACATGTTTTTCAGACCCTAATAAAATTCCATAACACGGTATTTGAACTGTTTTTACTTCTTTAATTTGTAGTGCTACATACCTCTAATTGATATTAATTGATCGTAAATGTGCCATAGATTTCAAAAATGTTCAAAATTTCTAAAATAAAACCATGGTGGTACAATGCCTAAAAAGAGCGATTTTTAGAGACACCCTGTATGTACTACAAATTGGTATGTATCTACAATATGTATTCATTATACACATCGTGGTTTAAAAACAATAACCTGTATCTCACACTGAGGTTTAATTAATTTAATTGTTTGTATGCTGGCCCCCTACGGACTACCTAGTCCTTTGTAGTCCAATTATCTTATAGTAGAGGTCTTTATAGAGGAGTGTAGAGAGCTATGGCTCTGTTCTAGCCACAGCAACATAGGTTTATTTTAGTATGAAATAATTAAAGAAACCGCCTGATTTAGGAAAGTATCGAACTTTTCTTTAAAATCAATTTTTAAAAAAATTTAATGAAGTTTATGTTTTTATAATCTTCTTTTTCTTAAAGGGACTGCTGGCGTAGATTTACGACGGTAAACTATAACTTTAATCTGAGTACAGGTGAGGAACATATCGTCGTTTTTCTAGCCATTTCCTCAGACAAAGGTTTAAAGTGTAACCATTTGAAATTAAGTAGACAGTCCCTTTAAACTGTAAAATCAATTTTTTAATAATCAATTATTTTATCTATTTAATCCTTTTGAAGAAATTGAATTTGAGAGAAGCTATATGTTATCTCTAGGTTCAATCAATTTATGTTGAACGAGGTTAAACTCAATCACAGCGTGTTTATGAGAATTAAAATTGTTAAGGTTGAGTGGTAGAACTACTAAACTGGGCAAACTCTCACGACCTTGCTAGTAGCCGGGTCCAGAGCTCCAGGTTCTCATTATACAGGGGGAGTAATCATCCAACCCTGATTAAAGACCTAGGTTCGGTTCCTAGATCTAGACTCTTTTTCACAAGATCAATACACTATATTTAAACTTGACGGATCGGAAGTAAGATGAATGTGTGGGGTTTGGAAGTGGTTAGATTGTGTGTGTAGACTGTGAACCGTGATTATATATTTAAAAAGAACACGGTTTGGTCCTGCTGCCTAAGGAGGAAGGATGAGAGACGAAGCTCTGGGTCAGAATCAGGGCTGGAGTTCCCACGCTTCTCTCAGTCTACAATCAGCATATTTATGACGGACTGATTACGAGCCTTTCAGATCTGACCAGTAAACCTCTCTGCCTGACTTATATTGCAGCAGGTTCAGGTTTCAGAGAGAGAGAAACAGGTTCGGAGAATGGTTTAATGGGTTTATGAACTAAATATTGTTCATTACAAAATAGAAATAGTTGAGTAGGAAAAATATCGTTAAACTACTTAGGATATTATGTCACAATCTTATCAAGATAATTTTTCCAGGATTTGATATCTTTTACATTTTTGTTAGTTTAATAACTTGAACATGATTTAAGTTCTGTAGAGACAAGTATAGAGTATAAGCTCCGAATTTAAAAGTACAAAATCCGAGTTTCTGGAGGAACTTATACACAATCTAGGTTCTGTATTGGTATTTTTATAACCTAGATTATATAATAGTCTCTTCAGAACCCTACTTCTGTAGTAGTCTTTAGAGAACCTAAGTTTTTTAATAGTCTCTTCGATGTTTACAGAATCTAGGTTCTGAAGGGACTAGTACAATATCTGGAGAGAATAGTGCATGATTTCGTTTTAAAGATTAGTACAGATTCTGAAGAGACTAGCACATAATTAAGGTTCTATAGACTACTACAAAATTTTAAGAGACTAGTACACTATTTAGGTTCTATAAGCTACTACAAAATTTGAAGAGACTAGTAAATAATTTAGGTTCTATAGACTTGTACATAATCTAAAGAGACTAGTACATAATCTGAAGAACCTAAATTATGTACTAGTCTCTTAAGATTCTGTACTAGTCTATAGAACCTAAATTATGTACTAGTCTCTTCATATTTCTGTTCTATTCTTTAAAACCTAAATTACGTACTAGTCTCTTCAGATTCTGTACTAGTCTATACAACCTAAATTATGTACTAGTCTCTTTAGATTCTGTACTAATCTATAGAACCTAAATTATGTTCTAGTCTCTTCAGATACTGTACTAGTCTATACAACCTAAATTATGTACTAGTCTCTTCAGATTCTGTACTAGTTTATAGAAACTAAATTAAGCACTAGTCTCTTCATATTTCTGTACTATTCTTTAAAACCTAAATTATGTTCTAGTCTCTTCAGATTCTGTACTAGTCTATACAACCTAAATTATGCACTAGTCTCTTCAGATTCTGTACTAGTCTAAAGAAACTAAATAAAGCACTAGTCTCTCCTGATTTATGTACTAATCAATAGAACCTAAACTATGTACTAGTCTCTTCAGATTTCTGTACTATTCTATAGAACCTAAATTATGTACTAGTCTCTTCAGATACTGTACTAGTCTGTATATACAAATTCATGTGCAAGTCTCTTCAGATTCTTAACTAATCTATATAACTAAATTATACGGTAGCCTTTTCAGATTCTGTACTTGTCTAGTAGAGAACCTAGGTTTTGTGATAGTCTCTTCGATGTTTACAGAATCAAGGTTTTGAAGGGACTAGTACAGAATTTTATGAGAATAGCGCATAATTTAGGTTCTATAGACTAGTACAGAATCTGAATAGACTAGTATACATAATTTAGATTCTATAGACTACTACAGAATTTGAAGAGACTAGTACACTATTTAGGTTCTATAGACTAGTACAGAATTTAGATTCTATAAACTACTACAGAATTTGAAGAGACTAGTACACTATTTAGGTTCTATAGACTAGTACAGAATCTGAAGAGAGTAGTACATAATTTAGATTCTATAGACTACTACAGAATTTGAAGAGACTAGTACACTATTTAGGTTCTATAGACTAGTATAGAATCTGAAGAGAGTAGTACATAATTTAGGTTCTATAGACTAGTACAGAATTTGAAGAGACTAGTACATAGTTTAGGTTCTATAGACGAGTACAGTATCTGAAGAGACTAGTACATAATTTAGACTCTATGGACTAGTACAGAATCTGAAGAGACTAGTACATAATTTAGGTTGAATAGACTAGTACTGAATCTGAAGATACTAGTACATAATTTAGGTTGTATAGACTAGTACAGAATCTGAAGAGACTAGTACATAATTTAGGTTGTATAGACTACTGCAGAATCTGAAGAGACTAGTACATGATTTAGGTTCTATAGACTAATACAGAAATCTGAAGAGACTAGTACATAATTTAGGTTGTATAGACTACTGCAGAATCTGAAGAGACTAGTAAATAATTTAGGTTGTATAGACTAGTACAGAATCTGAAGAGACTAGTACATATTTTAGGTTATATAGACTAGTACAGAATCTGAAGAGACTAGTACAGAACCGTGGTTGAATCTAGGTATGATTCTGGTAATCTAATTTGAAAATTAAAGTATTTGTTCTAAGGAGCAGAGTCGTGGATAAAGTGCACGACCAGAGAAGAAAATATTTGCTGCATTCTAGACTTCTGAAAAATTAAAATTGGAGGAAAATTGATGAGGGATTAAAAAGAGGTTCAGAACGCTTCCTAGGATTTAAAAGAAATACGTGCAAGCCAACCTTTGCATGTTTGAGAAAAAGTACATAGTATTAAGAATTTTTTCTTATATCAGTATCTTATTTTCATAAAATATATTTTGAACACAAGAATTAACTACTCTATTTTTGTTCATCGACTCAGTGCCTGAGAATCTTTCTTTCAAGATGATCTCTCATCATTTGTATCAATTATGTGTGGAGTATAGCGTGAAGGATGCTGGTCCTGGTTACGCTAGAATCAATGGTTATATTGTAGGTTTAGGCTGGGACGGATTGTGCCGTGCAGACTCCGCTCCCGTGCTCTACACGAGACCTGGAGCAGCCTGTGCTCAACCTGCCGCCACACCTACGCATATATTCAGGCCAATAGGAGCCAAGCAACTGCCTTGCTGGACACAGGCATGGGAGGATAGGCCAACTCAGGTTCTCACGGTAGCACATGGGGGCGAGAGATCAAACGATACTGCTTAAATTGTTCTTCAGTTCGAACCTAAACTTCTTTGTGGACAGTCAACTTAGACCTAGACCTAAATATAACAAGCAGGAGTGAACTGTTTGTTACTTATCCACTCGCGAAACTAAGATTTACAAACACGAGTGTTGCTCCTAAACTTGGATAAGTTCGAGTATCAACTCCAGTGGCACCTGTTACAGTTTAGACAGTCAGTTTTACTCCAGTAGCAAGCGAGATCAATACTCCAGCACCTACCCGAGGATTTGAATAGTCTACTTCAACTCCTGCCAGAGACTTAAGTAAAGAATTGTACTTCAGTATTCGTGATGTATTGAAATATGTCATGATTAAACAACAACATGTGAACAGCTGGAAACAGATTTGAATAAGTCTTGATATTTCCAGGTTTGCCGAATCCAAGAATAAAAATGCAAGTATCCGGCTCCACCCGAGTAAGTTCAAGTGAGGAAGCCCCCATCTCTAAAACGCAAAGATACAAAAAGATCACAAAACCGCTCCTAGAACGGAAACGACGAGCGCGGATAAACGCTTGCCTGGACGAATTGAAAGATATAATGACAGTTGCTCTTCAGGCAGAAGGAGAAAATGTCTCAAAACTAGAGAAAGCGGACATTTTAGAGCTTACAGTGAGACATTTACAAAAACTAAACCAGTCCCATAGATTAACAATCCGCAATCCTATTGAAGAACTACAGAAGTTTCAAGCCGGATATTCATCTTGTGCTCAAGAGGCCACATCCTTCCTTCTGTCAGCTCCAGGTCTTGATGTTAGAGTGGGACAAAGATTGATAGGACACTTATTCAGTCCTAGTCAAAGTGTTAGTCCTGGATATCCCAGATTTCCTCCTCCCGTCCTACCTCCAGCTCCGACTCCTCCCCAACCCGTCCTGGATATTAAACCCAAGATATCCGAAGAGAAAACCATTCCTGTTAAACCTGCAGCCGTCAGATTAACTGCTAATAACACATTTTTCGAGAATGTTTGGAAACCCTACAGTTAATTCTAGTTTATAGTTTAGTTTGGAGAAATTAAACCTTTCTGATTATAAGTGTGTTACAAAGTCTATATCAAAAATGCAACACGTGCATGGTTGCAATAATAAATACATCTTTATATAAACTATTTATGAATAAAACTTTTGTAAGCCTTGAATTCAACTGTTTTAACAATAGATGCATGGGGGGGGGGCATTTAATCGAAATGTGTAGTTAGGCGATAGAGAAGAATAATGGAATGTAGAAAAAAAAAAATCTGTTTTTCTTTTACAGGTGGCTTTATTAGGAATTTAAAATAGGGTTTTAAAAAAGAGAAAGAATGGATTTATAAACAAGAAAAGAGAAAGAATGGATTTAAAACAAGAAAAGAGAAAGAATGGATTTATAAACAAGAAAAGAGAAAGAATGGATTTATAAACAAGAAAAGAGAAAGAATGGATTTATAAACAAGAAAAGAGAAAGAATGGATTTATGGGGTTAGGATAGAGGAAGGATGGAGGGATGGAATTAGGATGAAGGAAGGATGGGATTAGGATGAATGTAGGATGAGATTAGAATGAAGAAAAAATGGGTTTAATGACGGAAGGATGGGGTTTAATGAAGGAAGAATGGGTTAATGATAGAAGAAGAATGGGATTAAGATAAAGAGAAGATGGGGTTCGGATAGAGGAAGGATGGAGGGATGGGAATAGGTTGAAGGAAGGATGGGTTATGATAAAGGAAAAATGGAAGGATGGGATTAGGATGAAGAAAGCAGTGGGATAAGATTGAAGAAGGATGGAAGGATAGGGTTAGGATTGAGGAAGGATGGTAGGATTGGGTTAGGATTGAGGAAGGATGGAAGTATAGGGTTAGGATTGAGGAAGGATGGAAGGATTGGGTTAGGATTGAGGAAGGTTGGAAGGATAGGGGCGGGATTAAGAAATGATTGAATGGTAGGGGTAGGATTAAGGAAGGATAGAAAGATTAGGGTTAGGAATAAGGAAGGATTGAAGGATAGGGTTAGGATTAAGGACGAAGGGAAGGATGGGATTAGGATAAAGGAAGGATGTGGAAGGATTGGGTTAGGCATGAGGAATAATGGAAGGATGGGGCTGGGACTGAGAAAGGATGGGGTTGAGATTGAGAAAGGATGGTGTTGGGATTGAGGAAGGATGGGGTTGGGATTGAGGAAGGATGGGGTTGGGATTGAGGAAGGATGGGGTTGGGATTGAGGAAGTATGGGGTTGGGATTGAGGAAGAATGGGATTGGTATTGAGGAAAGTTGGGGTTGGGATTGAGGAAGGATGGGGTTGGGATTGAGGAAGGATGAGGTTGGGATAAAGAAAGGATGGAAGGAAGAGGTTATGATAGAAAAAGTTAATTCTGGAGAGTGGAGAATACTGAGAATAAAGTAATAATCCATTTACAGTGAGAGAAAAATAAAAATAAGGTAAACGAAGGATGAAGAAACATAAAATCGAAGAGTGTTACGAATTTGAGAGTTTGAATAGAAGAAGAAAATGTTTAGAAAGTGTAGTATGAGGAGGGTTCAGGTGAATCTGTTGCTCTAGGTACGCTTGTCATCACAAGAATCGGAGAAGAATGGTTTAGAATCAACATTTCAGGGGAATTCAGGCAGAAGGTTAAACTGACAAATAAAATGGTTTCTTCACTTCACGATTTCTCTTCTAAATCTTCTACCAGTAAACACAAAGGTATCAGGTTACAATTTACAACTCTTATAGTAGAAACCGATAATATACAGTTTTATTGATTTTTTTACAAGTCAACGTTTAGGTTTGAAAGTTGTTATTTCTCTTTTTCTTCATTGTATACAGAAAAATATGAAATATTTTTCGTCCTATGGTCTCGAATTTCGTCTGCCCACCGCCCGGCCCTGGGAGAAAAAGAGAGATATTTTGTAAATTTATCTTGAACCTGTGAAAGACGGAAACTTAGATTATGATCTGCAAGGTTCCGAACCTACGGGGATTGATTGAGTTGAAGAGAAGATAGAATCTATAATTGCTTCCTCTCTCTTCTCTCTTCAACAATAAGTTTATTCTTGGAAATTTAAGCCGTGAACATGGATTCAGTTTTCCCCGCGTTTTTTTACTTTTTTTTTAGAAGATTTTTACAAATTTGCACAAAAGCGTTTCTTAAAGTTTAACACTTCCTTTTTTTTATGAAACCTTTTAAATCCAAACCTTTAAAAGGAACTGTGAATGCAGTTTTAAGTGAACCTTAACAAGAGTACAAATTGTCGTTTTTTTATTCTTTCAATCCCCCGCATTCCTTCCTAAAATCTAATGATAAATCTGGTAAATCGCTTTTAAAAAGAAATCACAATAGAAAATAAGTCAATTTTTTTTGGAAAGGGCATTTTTGAAAGTTTGACATATTACTCCTTTAATCAGTGGGTCACTTAGAATTACTTGAACAATCCCTTTAAATTAATCTTTAAAATTAGAAGGGATGTAAAGAGTAAAAATTCCCCAGATTTAAACAGAAGCCAATTTATTTTAGCGTCCAGCGATGAAAGCTTTGGAATGATGGATTTAATCATTACATTTACTAACTTTCCTGCGCTCTCAAAGTGTCCGCATTGGATATTCAGATTAAACAATCGGAATTAGAGGTATCCCATTCTAAAGTTCCCAGCTCAGATTTCAGTTAGATCTTGTAAATCAGAGTCTAAAACTAAAGAACGAAAAGTTTTGACTTAAATTTTAAGTTCATGGTTAAATGCCACTTCTGACTTAATTTAAACCTGAACTTTAACCGTGAGGTTAAATATTTAACCCTGTGGTTAAATATTTAACTCGCCGAAATCGACGAGTTAAAATTCAAACACAGGTTTAAAATCTTGAAATCCTGCATTTTCCCTATTTGTCTATTATTCAATCATCATTCAGCTGCAGCTGAGAAAGCGGCATTCAACTTACGATATATTTAAAAGTGAAAATCTTGTTAAAGAAATTTCACGTTTTAGATAAATTAATTTTTGGATGTAAACCCAAAAAAACGGTTGTATGTTTTGTTTTCGGTTACGTAAGAACAGCTGATTAGCGATGGTTATGTAATATTCTCCGTAAATCCTTTTCTCTGATTGGTTCAGATTTTTCCCGGAAAATTCAAATTTAATATTGAGAAAGTTTAATGTTTAAGTAGCTATTCATTATTTTACAAAACTTTTAACCTCGAACTTAAAATTCGCGCATTCTTTAGTTTTAGACTCTGGGATGGTAAAGGTTTCCAGTACTATTCCAGTTCGTCAATAACCGAAAGACTCGTTCATTTATTCATTCATATTTTTATTCAACTACAAAGCATAAGATATTACAAACAAACAATCACAATTTACTATACAGTTTGGACCCGCCTAACCAGGGTAGGTTGTTTTGAGTGTTTGGCCCTAAGTTAGTTAACGATAATGAATTGAACTGGATACTGACATCAAATTATGTTTTTGGATAGGTAAGGAGTTGATTGGAAGGAAGGAGATTGTCAGGTGATCTGTGGCAGGGTCAGATCAAAGGGATTAATGTAGAGATAAATTTAAATACAGGGTGTAGAGGATAGTAAACACAATTAGGCTAATAAAGTTTTAGTTTTTTTTTTATAAATCTACATGATATACAACTAGTTTTTTCGCATTTAAACCTCTCATAATTCTCAAGATAAATATTGACTAACTTTTGTTTAAATGTTTTTGCAGATTTAGTTTCTTTAAGGTCAATTTCAATTGTATTCCACTATTTTGGAAACATTGGAGCTAGAAAACTTTCTAGATTTTTGTTTAAAACCCGTTCTAATTTATGTAGCAATGTTTTAAATAACCCGGAATAATATAAATTGATTGAAACTTTAAAGTCGTCTTTGACGCTTAGAAATAGTTTGCAGCATTCAAAATAAGTAAATTTTTTAGCAATATATTTTTATGAAACAATAATCACATGATAGCTCTAATCCTGCTATTTCCGAAATATGGTCTGCCGTTTTTGTGGCTTCATACTTCCCGGAGATATGATTGATTTTGGTGAAAATGAGACATTTTCATGGTTTAATTCATTAAACTGAAATTTAAACCGAATTCTTAATATCTCTGGTTTTTTTAAAAACAAAAATGGCAGACCACATTTTGGAAATGGCAGATCAGAGCTATTTTGTGATTATTGTTTCGTAAAAAATATTGCCAAAATCAAGTGACCTTTATGTTGAATGCCGCAAGCTTTTCTAAGGTCAAAGACGACTTTGAAGTTATCAATCAATTCAAATTATTCCGGGTAAAATTACTGTATGATTTTGTTCTTTTCGGTTCAACTAGAGACTTAAACATATTTTGGAAGCGTTAAAGTCTATGCAGAAATATATTATTTAGAAGTACCAAGACTAAAGTTGGTCATCTGTGAGTAATTAAAATATTTCCAACGTTACAGTTGAATTAATGATGGAACAGACATATAAATGAACATTGTGTAAGCAGGGTCCCAACGTCCATATATAAATAGGTTTGCAGACCACCCTGTGTTAGAAGGTACCCGGAGAAGTATGCCCGGTAGGCGGCTGTCGGTTTGATTTGAAGGTTTCTAACGGACATGATACATCAAGCATCTTCTATATACAGGTTATTCTTAACAACAGGCGAACTATCGGAACCTTATCATTAAATTTAAACCTGGACCCCCCCCACCCCTATGTAAACAAAAGGACAATATCAAACTATTGAAAGAGAAAGAAGAAAAGAAGAAAGTCTAGAAAATATATTTTATATCTCTGAGATCTGATCCAACAACATTGTTTGCAATATGTCCGTTACACAATGTTGTAAAGAAAATAAAGATTGATGGGTTGGGACGAGGAGTAGGATCAGGTTGGTATTAGGAGCAGGAGCAGGTTGGGACGGATATTACAAGATGCGCGGACATGAGAAGATCGTTATCTCTGCTGTAGGTTTCATGAACCGAGAAAATATTGAATATTTACCTGTTCCTCCCTCCTTCTCCCGCTTCACATCTGTTCCCAAACCATTCATTCTTTTCATCCAACCTTGCAGCTAAACTAGGGAGTCTTTCAGGTGGATTTCAACCCTGGAGAAAAACGAACCTATATGATGAGATGAAACCTGAACAATGAATATCAAAAATGTATTAAGCCTTTAAGTCAACTTAAATT